CAAGGTTCTCCTGGGCATAGTAGGGGCTGCTCTGCCCAAGCTATGACACAGAACAGAAAACTGTGCCACCTAGTTGCTCTGCACCTATGTCTCTCCAGAGGCTATGTCTTCTACCCAGCAAGAAAAAGAAGTTAATTTGTTTTTCATTCTAGGGATCTAGGTGCAAAAATAACCCACTGTAGCTAATTGGCCCACTCCCTTCCCTGTGAAGTGGGCAGGCACAGAAAATCCCCGACCCTGCCCAGCTCATCATCTACCCCTAAGGGGCCTTGCCATAGCTAGCATGTGGGAGGAGAGCAAATTTAAATGAAATCAACACGAGTTTCCTCCTAACAATAATAGTTCTATTCATTCAACGCTTACTGAGTGCCCAATTACCTACTTGGTGCCAGAGGAGAGACAACCCCAGCCTCCCTTGCGGTAGTTTGGCAAGAGGCTGGCTGAGAGGGTCTGTGTTCACTTGAGGGAAGAACAGCCTTATGCCAGGGGCTGAGCTCTGGAGGCTCTGCCTTTGAACAAGTCTGCTTCCTCAACCAGGAGATGCCCAATATTACATACTACACCAGATCTTCTCTGCCATGCTTTTCCTATAAATCCGTCGAGCAGTACAGAGTGGGCTCCTTCCCCTGAAGCCCTTTCCCGTGTGCACTCAGCTTTGGTCGATCAAGCACACTTCTCTCTGTCGGATGGTGGCAGCCCAGGGTACCAATGCATTCTCCTGCCTCTCTTCACGGAGGCTTCCCCAGGAAACCATGCTTTGCTTCTTGCTGCGTGTCACCAGTAAAATGTGTGTCTGTGCCACTTTGGCACGACAGCATGCAGGTGTGAGGAACACACAAGGAGCTCACAGCATTGTGAAAAAGAAATCAAAGGCAATAACAGATGCAAATACACTTATAGACACATAAGGCAAGAGGGGACCCTGACAGGCCGTAACTGCACCCCCGCTCCAGGCAGCAGATTAGTCTTAGTGAAAATGTGTACTTCTGCCTGATGATCAAAGTACTGGAGGGCTGCGTGTAGGGGAGGACCCTTATTTTTACTCTCCAGGGAAAAAAAGAGTGTATCTGACAAAAACTTCCCCTAGGAACAAACCCCAAAGGAGGAGATGTTTGTGGAGAATGAACTAATTTTTGTGAAGAATGGACCACACACTCTTTACTTACATTGACTCATTTAAGAAAATTAACAAAAAAATTAAGTTTTTGCTACACACACAAGGAATGCTTCAACATAAGCAAGTGAGTAGAAACATAGCTGTCAGCCCTTTGAAGTGAGATGGCAAATACTCAGGCGGGGGCCGCTGCGTTCAGGTGAGGCCTTACACACGAGTGCAGGGCTGAGGGGAAGGATGATGGTGAAATCTAGCCTTTACTCCTCTTTCAGCCTGTGTGGGTGCAAGTACCCGAGGACGGGGTGCCATACTTTTGTTCCTCACACAGACACTATCTACCTACAAAGCCTAGAGAAAACCACTTTTCCTAATTCATCTACCTGAAAGGGCTCCTTTTTATAAAAGGTATAATTTGTATGTGCTCAACTCAAAGCCCTTCAGGACTTGATAGGTCTGAGGGCAAGTGGGGTACAGGGCACCTGACTACTAAATAGTTTGTAGCCTCCATCCCCCATTTGGAAATGGCAACTTCATAAAGCCCTTGGACTTCCTTCAGACTGATCTTCTCCCAGGGGTAACTAGGGAGCTTTAGAGAATAACTGGCCCTGTTCATTAAGGTTTGGGTTGTTTTGTTTTGTTTTTGAGATAATTGTAAATTCACATGCAGTTGTAAGAAATACAGAGAGATACAGTGTCTTCTTTACTAAAGGTTTAATTTTTTATTTTTTAAAATTTATTTATTTATCTGTTTGTTTGTTTTGGCTGCATTGGGTCTTTGTTGCTGCACGCGGGCTTTCTCTAGTTGTGGTGAGCGGGGGCTACTTTTCGTTGCAGCGCGCGGGCTTCTTATGGCGGTGGCTTATCTTGTTGAGGGGCACAGGCTCTAGGGCATGCGCGCTTCAGTAGTTGTGGCTCACGGGCTCTAGAGCACAGGCTCAGTAGTTGTGGTGCACGGGCTTAGTTGCACCACGGCATGTGGGATCTTCCCAGACCAGGGATCGAACCCGTGTCCCTTGCATTGGCAGGTGGATTCTTAACCACTGTGCCACCAGGGAAGCCCAAAGGCTTAATTTTTTAAACCAACATTTACTGAAAATTTTTTCTGTGCCTCAGGAAAATAAAGATGCCTCAGATGAGACGTCATTCCCTCAGCACCTTAGATTCTTGTGATAAAGACACACACAACAGATCTCTTTGAAAAAGTTCATCGTACAAATTGCCAAGGGGCAAGTGAGCATCTTGGACAAAAAGTCCTGTGCAGTGTCTTGGGGACTGAGTAAAAGTGGGTGATGGAAGGGCAATCTGGGCAGAGAACACAGCACGGGCAAAGACTCAGAAGTATGAAATAGCATGGTGTGTGCTGGGAGCCATTCAAGTAATTCGGCATGGATGGGAACAAAAAATTCAAGGAAGGGAGTTTAGCGGCATCCCGGGAATGAGAAGGGAATGTTGTGTGATCCTGGCCTCCCACATTCTATGCTGGGGGAATGAAAAACAGATGGGAAATATGCTCCCAAACATGGCCCAAGCATGGCTCTTGGAGAAGCAGAAGCGAATCTTGCTTCAGTTCGAGGAGCCCACTGAACCCTCACTTCCAATCCTTGGGCTGTGGCCCACTTCCTTCCATGACCTTCACCCAAGGCCAAGGGCGGAAGTCTAGCTCACATCCTTCTCTTCTGCATAAGGCCAGCAATTGGAATGAAACAGAGTCCCCCCTCTACCAATCTGGGCTGCCACGTGGGACATGGCTAAGCCCAGCTGTCCCCAGTTCCCATCTGGCATGGAGATTATCAAGAAGTACCCCCCAGGGTCCAGTGAAAGGCACAGAAGGTAGTCGATGGTGCTGCTGGCAAGCTCAGCAGAGGGTGACCAAAGTGTGGGGGCTGCAGGGCAGACCACCTGAGCTGACAATCAAATGGAAATCCCAGCCATTCTTCAAAGAGATACACAACCCCAGAGAGCTGAGATGAGGCAAATTAACTAGGAGGACTCCAGGCCCTGACGAATGGAGAAACAGCAGACCTGGAGTATTCTATCCCCAGCTGTCTGCAGAAGGTGCTAGCAGAGGGAAGAGTGACTAGGTACATAGGGAAATCATTCTTCAAAGACAGTGAAGATGCAAGGAGCAGCATGGGATCCGAGTTTTCACATGCCCACCTCCACAGCGACACAATAAGCAAACCCTTGTTACTTCCAGGCATTCTGGAGAAGACAGGGAGGGGATACTGAGATACTTAAACATGAGTTTTCTTGTGACTCAGCAGGCTGGGCTCATAAGGAAGATTATATCATTTATAGAAAGCTGAGAAAGCCACACTTTCTTTGAATAAATGAGTATATTGTGTGTAAATGATCAACCCCTCTATATGTGGCTTACGGACATCCCCGGCCAGGTTTTGGATGAAACAATTCTATTTTAATTTGGAATGATGAGGATTCAGTGCTGGTTGGTGATTTGTGAATCATGCCATACTCTGTACCAGGGCTAAAGTACTTCTTACTGAGGAAGAGATGAGCTCCCTTTTTACCTGTCCTCAGGTCCAAAGATATGACAAGCCTAGTTACATCCCCAGAAAATGGGGATATAGCCGTCATAAGAGGACTGGGGTAGCCTTTGAATCTGTGAACTAGTTTACTTCGGGACAACCTGCTTTTGTAATATTCCACCTTGTAATTGAAAGGGAGGGAGGAAGAAAGTCTGGTGTGGGAATAAGAAGACAGCAGTATCCTTTATGGGCAGGACTTAGAATTGGGTGGCTTAAGAGTCACAGGTGGCCATATTTTTAGGTATGTCTTTTAAAGTAGAACAAGGAATTTTCTTGTAAGGTTTGCTCTGTTAACAAACCCTGCACCTCAGTCTCAGCGACTTATTACAACAGTGGTTTATCTCTTCCTCATGCTATCTGGAGGCTGAGGTGGGCTGTGGCTTTCACCAGGCCCTGTAGGAAAAGCTCACTCTTCCTCTTGTGTGTCTCCCCTTTACTATCATACCACAGCCACACTCACAACACTTTTGACACCAGATGTGAGGGTCGGGCTGTTCCTGCACCACTGGTTCTACAACACCAGCTGGATGTCCCACAGTTCAACTCAATTCTGACTCTGTCTTCCTGGAAATAGTGTCAGATCCTATAGGCTAAGGGCTCAGTCCCGCAAAACAACCCCTTCCCCCCACCACTTCGGATGCCAGTCAAAAGTCCGGGTTGTCACCTGTGCTGCTGACCAATCATCCATAGATCAGGTATTCCCTCCACCCCCTCCTCGGGCTCAATTAATGTGCTAGAGCAACTCACAGAACTCAGGAAAGCAGCTCCCTTACTGTTTACCAGTTTATTCTAAAAGGATATGATAAAGGATACATATAAACATCCAGATGGAAGAGATGCATAGGGCAAGGTATGGGGAAGGGGCTCGGAGCTTCACCGCCCTCTCTGGCCACTGTCCCAGCACCTCCACGTGTTCACCAACCCAGAAGCTCTCCAAACCCTGTACTTTTAGGATTTTTATGGAGGCTTCATCACATAGGCATAATCAATGATTAACTCCATTTCCAGCTCCTCTCGCTTCTCTGGAGAGTGGAGGGGAGGGTTGAAAATCCCAAGCTTCTAATCATGGCTTGGTCTTTCTGGTGATCAGCCCCCCCACCAAGAGTCACCTCATTAGAGGTAATACATTGCTATTACCCAGGAAATTCCAAGGAATTTAGGAGCTCAGTGTCAGGAACCTGGGTCAAAGACCAAATATTAGAACAAAAGATACTCCTAGTGCTTTTATCACTAAGGGAATTACAAGGGTTTTAGGAGCTCTGAGATAGGAGCTGGGAGCAGAGAAGATATATATTTTCTATTACCTTATACCCTGGGCTTGTTCTGTCTTCTGATTTCAGGACCCAGCCTCTACATAGGACATGTCTGGGAAAGAGCAAGAGAACTGGCCAAAACTCAAGATGAGTCATAGACCTTCTGCTGCAACATGGTAAATGCCATATTTACTCACATTTCATTGGCCAAAGCATGTCACATGACCAAAACCAAATCAAATGAGGTGAGGACATAAAATCCTCCCATAGGAGGCACAGTGGATCACCTGACAATGGACAGGGAGGGGTGGGTAGTGATTGGAAAGAATAATATATTCCACCATGATAATATAAACTCATTATAGATAATTTAGAAAATGTAGAGAGGAAAGAAGAAAATCAAAATTACCTGTAATCTCACTGTTAACATTCTGATATATTTCCTTCCAGGATATATGTCTGTGTGCTTGCTTGTTTTGACAAATTTAGGATTACATAATATATACCAGCTTTATAGGCTGCTGGTTTATATAGAATTATAATATATAATGAACTCTTTCCCATATAAATAATCATTCTTTTGAAATGTCACTTTAATGCCTGCCCAATTTTCATATTAGTTTGGATAGACCAGATTTTGTAGCAATAAAAAAACCCTCAACTTTGTTGCCTGGCTTCGAATCACAAAAGTCTATTTCTTATTCAAGCCACATGTCCAATGCAGGTTGACATGGAGACTCTGCTCATCTTGATCACTCTGGAACAGAGGCAGACGGAGCAGCTACCATCTCAAATGTATCTGGCTATTGTATAGGAAGGAAAGGAGAATATAGGGTAGTATGCAATGGCTCTTAAAGCTTCTGCTCCCAAGGCTTTCACATTTTGTTAGCCAAAGCAAGTCTCACGGTGTGATATATTTTTTTTTAAATGGCCACAATATTTTGCAGATCCTCCAATCAAGAATTGAGTCTGTTTCTCCACCCCTTGACTCTGGGCTTAGCCATGTGACTTACTTTAGCTAATAGCACGTTAGCAAATGTAACATGAGCAGAGGCTTAAAATATGCTTGTGCATTAGGGCTTGATCTCTCCTAGTGCTTTTAGAACAGCCTGAGATTGACCTAGAGGATGAAAGACCATGTGGAGAGAGAGACCATGCTGTCCCAGCTATTACAGCCATCCCAGATATGTAAGCAAGGCCATTCTCAACCATCCAGCTCCAGCCAGCCCAGACCAGAACTGTTTAGCCAATCCACAGATTTCGAGTGTTGTCTTAAGCCACTAAATTTTGGGGCAGTTTGATATGCAGCAAGAGCTGGCTTATATACTCATCCACATCTAGTTTCATCTGGGAGGGAGCCATGATCTTTTTTTTAAAGTCTAAATGACTACCTCAATATTAAATCATAAGGATGTGCCATCATTTATTTAACCATTTTCTTATTGTTAGAATCGCATTGCTACCTAATGTGTTACATCACATTTACTACAACTATAAACAACACTACCGTGAATATCTTTGTGTATAAATATTTATCCACGTCTCTGATTATTTAATTATAATCAATTGGTGGAAGAAGAATTACTGGGTCAAAATTTAAACCTCTTAATAATTACCAAATTATGAGACAAAAGGATTGCACCAATTTATATATCTAATGAAAGTATGTGAGTGTTCTCATTTCACTGCACCCTTACTCACCACCGAGTGTGAGCTTTTAAAAGCATCTTTACTAATCTAACGGGAAAATCTCATTTAAATTCTAGTTTCTTTGCAAATTGAGGTTGACTTTTTCTTTCAAATATTGTTAACAGTTAAAAATTCTTACATAACACTCAGAGTGTATATGATAGTATTTCCTTATTTTTCTATATTGAATTAAATCCAGCCTGAGTGCCCCACAGGACTAAATTGGCCGGAAGCTTGATACCAGATATCTTTCCCAGTTTCCTTTCCCTCTCTTAGATAAGTCCATCTGGGTTCCCACGGCCTTGAAGTAGTGTCCAGTTCTCACACTTAGACATGTCTTATTCAGGTCCATCTACCTCGAGGGCATTAGAGTCGGTGCAGGGCCCCTCCTGCTCAAATTTTTAACCACCTGTTGTTTGCCCAATATCATGTTCTGTCAGCACCACAGGAAGGCAAGATGCAGACCTCTAGTTCCCTTGATTTGGCAAAGTTATCATTTGAGAAAGCTTAAATGTGGCATGTGGGGGAGGGGAGGGGAAGGGAGGTGGCTGGGATGACCAGAGGTTACATGTACTGCAAAATGCTTTTCCCAGTGGAATGAGCAGATGTCTCAGAAGACAAGCAGTGTAACTATTCGGAGCGTGATATAAATGTCAAGAGTCTAAGAAATCACACATGGAATTATTGAACCATAAGTCATCATATTTCTTCTGTAACCAAAAAAAAATCACATTTTTACTGAGTTAGAAAAGAAATACAAAATCAGACTATGAATACTGCTTCATGAACAGACTTACTACCAAGACCCTCTGTATTCACACCTCCCAGCTCCACTGTTTTTTCATACGCTGCTCTTTGAAAAAGCTGCACTTTCTACCAAATGTCAGGGGATATAGCTTCAGTCAGTCAACTGTTCTCGTCAGTCGGGGTGGTGGGGTGGATCCCAAACCCAGTCACGTTGCTGGCCTCTAAGGAGCGCATAGTCCTGTCTTCCAATCTTCTTTTAGGTAAGGCAGCTGAGTGAAAAAGCCAAGTCCCTATAAAACCCACTAACGGACTACCCATCAGCCCCTGTGCCAGTGTTATAGGGGCCAGTGTAAGGGCCAGCTGCCCTGCATCTAAGACAAATGGAGAACTTGCAAGAAAACACACGAAGGCTGCTAATGCCAAACACGTTACAAGGCAACATTTGCCTGTGCAATCTGTGTGTTATGTCTTCTATAAAGGAATGCCAGTGAAGGAAGGAAATGAAAACCATTCCCAATATGGGCAACCTCCCCTCCCCCACACATGCTAGAGCTGAGGCAGTGGATACAAAAGTTGGCAAAGGAGCAGTGAGGGGGAAGGGACCCTGAGAAGGCAGATCAGAAAGGTCAGCTCCTGTGCTTTGAATTCGTTGCTGGAAAAGAGAGGAGTTTTTAGATGGGACCCCCACAGAGCCGTTTTACTGTTCCAAGTCTGCTTGGGGTCCTTTTGATGTAGTTACTCTACAAAATCTCACATCTCCTTTAAGATTCAACTTCAGCTAAGGGCCCTGAAGAAACAAGGCCTCTTTTGAAAGAACAGAAGAGTCCAGAAGCTTCTGGGTTCAACAGGCCACTGTCTAAACTGACAACCTGCTCTCTAGCCTGAGGGATGATAAAACTTCACAGACTGGGAGAGAATTCCACGTCAAGAATGTCTGCTTCTGAGAGCTCACTCTGATTGCCCTCATCCCCATTAACAAAAACAGATGTGTGTTCATGAGTAAAGTAAACATTCAAGGTCAATATACGTTCCTCTCCAGCAATCTAGTTTGGCACTTCAACATGAGCAAATAGGCTATGAAGCTGAGTGGAACTTTTCTATAACATTGGTGTCGAGTGACAGGATGCACATCTGTGTATTAGGTTAACTGTTACATTAAATATCTACAGAATAGACTTTTTCTGTTTCGTGGGAAATGGTCTGAGCTACGGCAAATCTACTGACATGGAATAGTTATTCTCTATGAGAGAAACAAGAGAGTATGATATGTACGAGCCTGAGTCTGAATGCTAGTTCTAGTACTTACTATCTGTGTAACCTTGGGCAAGTCATTTAACTTCGGTTACTGTCTCTAAATGGAGGTTTCAATAGTGTGTATTTCCTGCCTTGTCAGCACTAAGCATGTAAAAATGTGAGCTTATCCTAGGATTACTCCAGGACACTGGGGGGAAGTAGTATGCAAGAAGTCTCCATACCTAACCTTGTCTTCATTCATCCTTTCATCAAATATTTATTGAGTACCTACAATGTGCCAGCTAAAGATGCAGCAGTAATGATGAAAGACACACCTGAAAGTAATCGTGGAGTTTATGGTCTCCTGATTCATCTGCCACCCTCCCGAGACGTGACCCTCCAGTATCACTCAGCACCCTGAGTGTGATGTTTCTCAGATTTACTTGAACCTAAGAATCACCTGGCACTCTTGTGAAAAAAACAGATTCTAAGATCTCACCTCATCCTACTGAATATCGCAGGGAGACTCTGACTTCCTTTCCTCATTGGCAAAATAAGGAGCAGACACACCCTACCACCGTCTCATTATGTGTTCCCGGAGAAACAGCATATGGGAAATGTCTTCAGAAACCATGAAGTCACTTTCCAGCATGTGGCATCTAGGTTCTCTCTGGAGGATCAGAGAAGCCAGCCAAAGGCCACTCAGTGCCTATAGTCTGTCCTGGTGTCCTCCCAGCCCACCTCCTCCTTCTGGACTCTTTGGAGACATGAATCAGAAGCCACCGTTTTAACCTAATGAGTTAATGGGTCTCATACAGGAACCAGCCTCAAGTCCACCACCAAGGTGAACACTTGCATTGTATTCTGGGAATGCCTATTACAAGGCTTCAGAGGTCCAGTCAATGGCCATAACTGGTGGTTTTCAAGGGACATCCTTGCCTTCCCTTGGCACCTGCTAAAATGGGAGATGAACCCAAAGATTAGAGGGGTGAATTGTAGGATCTTGGTAAGTTCTCATCACCCAGCCCCTGCCCACCTCTCCAGCTCCATCTCCCACTCCTCTTCCATACGTCCACTAGCCCTTGACTGCCTCTCCCCTTCTTTCAGTAATCAAACACTCCAGTTTCAACGGGTCACAAAAACATCCAGAATAATGATGATATTTCCTAGCCCTCTTGCTATTATGATCAATGGGTTGTAAGCAGAAATGTCATATGGCCACACCCAGGAACAGTCCACAATAAACAACTGGCACGTGTTTTATCCCTGTTCTATCCTACGCCTTCCTCCATCCTGCTGCTTGGAAAGCAGAGGTAACAACTGAGGCTCTAGCATCTGTTTTAGATGTTGGGAATGAGACAACATGTTAGGAGTTCTGGGACCCTGAGCACTGTATGGCACAGAGCCTCTGCTTTAGTCCTGAACTACCAACCTCTGTGCTTTTACATAAAATGGAAGTACACCTCTATTTAATTTAAATCAGTGTTATTTTGAGTCTCTATTACATATTCCAAAGTGAGTCTTTACTGATACGGTGCTCAGGAGGATGGATTCTGGAAATACACTGCCTAAGTTCAATCACTTATTAGCTGATAGCCACGGTATATTGCTTCACTTCTTGGCCTCAACTATAAAAGGTAGATGCTAAAGACAGCATCTACCTTCTTGGATTGTTGTTAGGAATGAGCTAATAATATATGTGAAGCTTAAAACGTGTAAGGCCTGACATAGGGTAAACACCCAGAATAAAAGTGTGCCCTAAGGGAGTAAGATTGAAGGTTGTTCTCTCAAATCAGAGGTAGGCTTTTTTAGTGCAGCAGCAATACCAATATGTTAATAATAATATCTTTAAAAATTTTATGGATTACTTTGCAGGAACCTTTTCAACAGTTATGTATGAACTGTGCATTATGTATGTATGAGTTACGTATAATGACTTTCATTCCACAGAGAAGAGAATGCAAGGTTAGAGAGGTTAGGTTAACATGCCCCAAATCACATAGCTAGTAAGGGTCTGTGATAGGATTCACATGCAGGTTTTTCACTTCCAAATTCCATACATTTTCTGAAAACCTTCACTTGCTCCTAAATGCAAGTTGTTGTACTGCTATGCATCCTCTTTTCTAGATGCCTGATGCACATACATTTTTTGCAAAGGGATTCCCAGGCTAGATTTTTCTGTTCGCAAATAATCAAAAAGGGTGCCCAAATTCCCCATGTAAGAAATTTTGTTTTCTGGTCGGCGACAGCTCAAATGTGAATAGGCCGTGTATTTGATCCCATAAAATGTTAGCCCTAGACTATACTTTGAAAAAGGGGATCCGATCAGGGCTCACCTCAGGCATGGGGGTGGAAGAAAAGCCTTGATCCATCCCCATCCTGGTTGCAGTCTGGACAAAAAGCCCTGATTCTGAGTGATATTTCAGGCTCACCCTAAAAGGGGCCCAGAGTTGAGCGTCTGGGATGGGAGTGAGGCTTCATGACAGTGCATGTGTTTTGAATTGACAATTCTTTTAACAGAAGCAACTTGGAACCAGGACTGGGGGAGCTGCTGCTCACTGGAATGTTGTAGCCATTTTCCATGTTCCCTGAGGGCAGGGCAGGTGGCTCCCATTGCATCTGGGGGCGGGGGTGGGGGGGGGGGGGGGGGCGGCGGGGTTAAGTTAGACACTAGGAAAAGCTTGCTTGCTATAATGATTGTGAAAGGCAGGCACAAATGTGGTTGTGGAATATAGTTATCTGTGCAAATTTGAAGCAAGTATAGGAAAAAATCTTTCACACGTAGAGGATATGGATTGAATGTCCTTGTAGCAGAAAACAGGAATTGAGAACAGAAAGTAATGGTATAGGGCTTCCCTGGTGGCTCAGTGGTTAAGAATCCGCCTGCCAATGCAGGTGACATGGGTTCGAGCCTTGGTCCGGGAAGATCCCACATGCCGCGGAGCAACTAAGCCCATGCGCCACAACTACTGAGCCTGCGCTCTAGAGCCCACGTGCCGCAGCTACTGAGCCCGCATGCTACAACTACTGAAGCCCGTGCGCCTAGAGCCCGTGCTCTGCAACAAGGGAAGCCACCACAATGAGAAGACTGCACGCCGCAACGAAAGAGTAGCCCCCGCTCGCCGCAACTAGAGAAAGCCCGCGCACAGCAACGAAGAGCCAACGCAGCCAAAAATAAATAAATAAATTTATATTAAAAAAAAGAACGGGATGGTCAAAAATAAGATGCTCCACGCAGTGTGTAGAATCAGGGAGGGATGTGGCTTTTGCTTGTGCACCTTGCCTGGAACCTCAGGGCTTGGGGTCCAGCACAAGGGAATGGGAGGAAGCTCGGGCAGTGGCCAGGCTGGCACACCTCCCTGCAGGGCCTGGGCATTCTGGTCCCCTCGTGCACACAACCAAAGGATGAAATCAGGTGAAAGCTGAAGAGTCTCCAAGCTCCGAGTTCCTCTGAGCCGGAATGTAGAGAATTTCTATCGATGGAAAGTGATTTCTCTATCCTCTGTTAGTTTCTGTGGGCTACACTCCTGAATCTTATTTACACTTTCTCTTGAGGAAAAAATTGTGTAAGCCTATGGAAAGTTTCTTTCCTAAGCGGCGGGTTCTGTGTAGGGGCAGCATGGGCACGAGGGTGTAGTTAACAATGAGGGAAGTTATAGGGAAACATGACAATATCAACTTAGAAACGGCCACTCCAATCCCTTGTGTTTGACCTGGACAGGGAGGCCTGCCTGCTTTGTCCTACTTCACAGGAAAATGACAAAGAGGGGATAAGTGAGAAAAAGTTAAAAGTTATGTACATCCCTTTTGCCTCCAAGCCTCTTACAGCCTGCCACATCGTTAAAAAGGTCTACTGTGTAAGTCTTACACCCAAAGTTTAGAGAAAAAGAAATATTAATTGAAAAAAACTTGTTATATCCTAATGAAGTTTGTTCTTTTCTTCACTTGTACAATTGTTTTTAAACTTATATAAAATGAGAGAATTGGTGAAGGAAAGAAGAATTACTTTTTCAACTCACAGACTACATTTACTCCAATAAGAAATTCCACTGTCAAATGTAGTTGCCCCAAAGTGAACACAACCAACCACAAGCAGTTGAAAAGAGTTGATTTATATGATTTTCTGTGTATAAAGGTAAAGGGCAAACGTACAGTGTTAGCTATCCTAATTCATTCCCAATTTTTTCTCCAAAGGAAAGAGAGGGAGAGAGACCCAAAAGGGAGAAGAGTTGGCTCTCAGTAGCTTTCCATTCGGCTGGAAAAGGAACAGCTCTGGTTGCTACAACTATGGTTGCTCCTTCTTGCTATTTATGGATGGGGTGGCTGTTACTGCAGTCCACTAGTGCCCCCTATTGTCCCCTTCAGGAAACTCACAGGGCAGCATGAACGGCTAAACCTGGGTAAGTCATCTTAACACCCTGGAAACTTCTGACAAAGAAATCTCAAAATTTTGAAACTATGCTTCCACATTTAATTCACTGAAAGACAGTTTATAGTCAAGTTACATTATTATTTCTGAGACTTAGAGAATGTTAGGAAGGATCTTTAGAAAGTATGTAGCCAATTGTTTTTTAACCTAAGTGTGGGTATTAGCTCTGAGAGATATTAGCAGTTATTATGTGAAACCAAAATGGGTTAGGAGACACTGGGTTAAATAAACATTAATTAAATATTAGATAAGCAGGTTCTTTCCTGCTGGTCTTCTCAGATCCTTTAATATGGATTGTGTGTCTCCCAAGGGGAAATGCAATTTCCCGATAACATTTGACAACAAGAACCACGTTATATATGAATTTCTTGTAGGGCTAATATTTCAGGGAACACTTTGCGAAAGTGCTAATTGAGTTCAAATGAATCATTCTACAGATTTGGAAATAGTCCCAGGGAGGTGCCAGTGGCTTGGTGGTAGTTAGTAGGACCGCCGTGAGGATCCGTCAGGAGGCTCCCTTCTCCCAGAGCTGCTTCTTCACCAGAGAGCCTACCTCCTTCCCAGAGTCAATTCTTAGTATTCCTATTTCCACAAAGCGTGTTTACCTGTGGAATGGGAAATGGCGTTGCCTTCAGCCAAGGATATTGGGAAAGTGAAGTAGACCCCTTTCAAGTATGCTCCAACTCTTTGGGGAGGAGAATTTGCTTCTGGTATTTTCGATTCAATTTTGCTGTCTCTTGTGAAGAACCTCATTTTTTAATAAAAAATGTATATTCAGCAAATACGATGCACACGGTTTTCTGGTACTTGGAAGACTCAAGATGATATAGCACATTGGGTAAGAGCAAAGGTTTGGAGGTCAGGTTCTGGTTCTGCCACATTCTGGCTGTGTACATTTGGACAAGTTACTTATCGTCTTTAAACTCAAGATATGGAAACAACTTAAGTGTCCATTGACAGATGAGCAGATTAAAAAATTGTGGTGTGTATGTGTGTGTGTATGTGTATATATATATATATATATATATATATATATACACAATGAAATTTTACTCAGCTTTAAAAAAAAAGAAGGAGATCTTGCCATTTGAAACAACATAGATGAGCCTGGAAGACATTATGCTAACTGAAATAAGCCAGGCACAGACAAAAAAACTGCATGATCTCACTTATATGTGGAATCTAAGAAAGTTGAATATATAGAAGTAAAGAATAGAATGATGGTTACCAGGGGTGGGAAGGTGGGGGAAATGGGGTGATGTTGGTCAAAGGATACAAAGTTGCACTTATGGAGGATGAATAAGTCTGGAGATCTAATGTACAGCATGATGTGGTTAAGAATACCATAGTGATTACTGGAAATCTGCTAAGAGTAATTTCAGTGCTGTCACCAAAACAATAACTAAAAAAGTTAACTATGGGAGAAGATATGTTAATTTGCTTAATTGCAGTGTATGATTACTGCATACACTACGTATGTGTATCAAATCATCTTGTCGTGGGACTTCCCCTAGCAACCAGTGGTCAAGACTCCGCACTTCTACTGCAGGGGGCACGGGTTCGATCCCTAGTCAGGGAACTAAGATCCCACATGCCTCGTGGTGCGGCCAAAACAAAAAAAATCATCATGTCGTACACCTAAAATATATACAATTTTTATTTTAAAAACTCAATTTGTAAAATAAATAAAAGACTCAGAATCCCTATCTATAAAACCTGACTGGGCTTCCCTGGTGGCGCAGTGGTTGAGAGTCCGCCTGCCGATGCAGGGGACTCGGGTTCGTGCCCCGGTCCGGGAAGATCCCACATGCCGCGGAGCGGCTGGGCCCGTGAGCCACGGCCGCTGAGCCTGCGCGTCCGGAGCCTGTGCTCCGCAATGGGAGAGACCACAACAGTGAGAGGCCCGCGTACCACAAAAAAAAAAAAAAAAACCTGACTAATCCCTTCTCCACGGGATTGTGTTGAGGACTAAATTAGAAAACACAGTTGCCCCTTGGTATCCACGTGGGATTGGTTCCACCACCCACCCCTCCCCAACAGATACCAAAATCTGCAGATGCTCAAGTCCCTTATATAAAATAAATACTCCATACCCAGGGTTCCACATCCGTGCAGATTTCAGCCAGCCAGATTGAAATCTGTGGTTGGTTGAATCTGCGAATGTGGAACCCGGATACAGAGGGCCAACTGTACATGTAAAATGGTTAGTGCAGTGCCAGCACATGTGTTTAATGAATAGTTGCTGCTGCTGCTATTATTATTGTTTTCCTTATTATGATTATTGACATTATTATGATGCTATTCTTGTTACTCTTATTGCCCCTGCCCTCAAGGACTTAATAGCCCAGTTGGTGATAGAAGACAAGCACACTCAGAAACTTCAAATAACAATATAAGGGAATGGAACAGAGGTAGCAACTAGGTCTCACGTCACTTGCCATGGGCCTTCAGTGGCTGCCTCAAGTGCTATGTGGAGAAGAATTCTGAAGTTCTTGCCAGCCTTGGAGAGAAAGAGCACTGATATCAATTAGTGATGTTTTTCATGGGAATGAGGAGTATGAATGAAGTTATACCACACATACTTAACATTCTTAAAATGAATGATGAAATTCCAGATGTGACAGATTAGATAGAACAGTCATTTCTGGAGAAGATAAGATAGCTGGACCTTGGAGGATGAGTTTGATGTGAATAGAAGGAGATGAAGTAAGGGAGGGAGAGGTATCTGGCACCAGGGATTTTGTGAGCAAGTGTGCCAAATATAAAATCCGTATGGCCTATTTGTGTGGCAATAAGTAGACCAGTCTGTCTAAAGAAGGGTTTGATGCTAAAGATTAGCTCTACAAATATGGTAACCAGAGATGCGGAGCTGGTGACGCAACATCCAATAAGTTCTCCCACTGTTCCCACAAATTCCCTCTTATGCATTGGGCCATGTGCCTGGATTTGAAGTTCAGAAAATGTGGATGCCAGTAAGTCTCTAGCACCATCTTGTCTATCATGGAGCTGTTCAAAGGCTCTTTTCCGGGACCTCCCTGGTGGCGCAGTGGTTAAGAATCCACCTGCCAATGCAGGGGACACGGGTTTGATCCCTGATCTGGGAAGATCCCACATGCCGCGGAGCAACTAAGCCCATGTGCCACAACTACTGAGCCTGTGCTCTAGAGCCCGTGAGCCACAACTACTGAGCCTGCACGCCACAACTACTGAAGCCCGCACGCCTAGAGTCTGTGCTCCACAACAAGAGAAGCCACTGCAATGAGAAGCCCAGGTACTGCAAGGAAGAGTAGCCCCCGCTTGCCACAACTAGAGAAAGCTGCACACAGCAACGAAGACCCCTCGCAGCCAAAAAAAAAAGCTCTTTTCCATCATCCTTGCTCATGAAGACCATATCCTTTCATGTTTTCATATTTAGTCCCCAACTGCTGTTCAGAGCCCATTACTCTACGTGCACTTTAAAAAGTCCTTACAAATGTCTTCCATCACGTACAGATGGCATTGCAGCCCCAAGCATCTGATTCTCGGCAAATGCACACACAGATAAAAAGTCACTGAAAATGAAAAATGAAGAATCAACCTACCAGAAATTGCAGCTTGCATGTATACCATGTGCCTTCCCTCTATTCAGAACTGTGCTAGCTCTGGGAGGGATATCAAAGATGGGTTTATTAAAACCACAAATAAGGATGGGAAGTTTTGAAATACCCCATTTGCAAAACTTCATAACGTGACATAATGAGATTTTATTCATCCATTCTTTTTTATGGAGTATCTACCAAGAAGCAGGCACTTCTGTATTAGTTGAGACTTGTATGGTTACAAGTGACAGAGACCTAACTCAAGCTCGTTTAAGCAAAAGAAGGGACTATAGTAAGGGATAATGTGACATCTGTGAAACCAAAAGACAGGAATGTGCCTGGGGCACAGGAACCACTGAAACAGAACTCCAAGACCATCAGGTTTCTCTTTTATTCTTCTTGTCTCTGTGCCTTCATTCACTCGCTTCCTTAGTTTCATTCTTCCTTCTAGCTAGCCATCACCTTTCTCCACGTGGTGAAAAACAGGGGGGCCAACAGCTTCCAGATGTACCAGTATATCTACATAGCTTTGGGCACTAGAAAGAAATTATCTTAACATTCTCTCTGGTTCCAAGTCGAAAAATCCCCGGGAAGGACTCATTCAAGTAGTTCAAGTCAGATAACTCCAGAGTCATGAAACAACATGGCAGCTCCTGTGGGAACCATAAGGATGGGGCGAAGAAAGAGGAAACTTATGGAAGAGAGGGGGTGAAGTGCTGGGCCAACAAAACAAGAGGTGCCTGTTACACCTTCCCTTATTTGTTTTTTCATGCCAGTTCAGCTACGCTATCAACAAACAATTCCATTCATTTAATAAGCACTTATTCATTTACTGAGTGTCTGCTATGTGCCAGGTACTATGCTGGATTCTAAGGATGAAACGATGACCACGATGCCTCTTAGAGTGCTAGGCATTCAGAGATACAAAGAAATATAAACTAGACTTGGTTTAGGACCTCTGGAAACTTACCACACAACTGAAGGCAGAAGACTGTATTTGGAGAATCATCAAGGGGCAAGCTGCGTGCTATGGATAATGAAGGTAAAGGAAGGTGAGTGGGGTCAGTGAGGCCTGGAACCTTCCAGGGAAGCATCTTGGAGAGGGTGGTACTCCTGCAGGGTCTTTAAAGGGTGAGGAAGTTTTCATTTATGACTACATGTGTTTTTTGGTTGTTTTTTTTTAAAGAGTATATGATTTCATTTATAAATTTATTTATTTTTGGCTGTGCTGGGTCTTCGTTGCTGCGCACGGGCTTTCTCTAGTAGCGGCGAGCGGGGGCTACTCTTCATTGCAGTGCGTGGGCTTCTCATTGCGGTGGCTTCTCTTGTTGCGGAGCATGGGCTCTAGGCACGCGGGCTTCAGCAGTTGTGGCCCGTGGGCTCAGTAGTTGTGGCTCACGGGCTCTAGAGCACAGGCTCGGTAGTTGTGGCTCACGGGCTTAGTTGCTCCGCGGTATGTGGGATCTTCCCGGACCAGGGATCAAACCCATGTCCCCTGCATTGGCAGGCAGATTCTTAACCACTGCGCCACCAGGGAAGTCCCACTACATGTATTTAAAGTGCAGGATTTTCACAACATCACACTAAGTGAGGCCTCTGCTCCTGGCTGTCTGCATCTGGAATGCAGCCGGGGGCCAGTGGCCCTGTTCCCTTCTCAGAGACAGGACTACCACCCACAGCTCTTCTGATAGCCTTGCGTTTTATTGCCATGGCCTGTTGGATCAAAGCCTCTGAGTTTGATGCAAGTTCAGAATAATTTCCTTCAAGGATTAACTCATCTTTCTGGGCTTGGGGAGCTACACAAGCAACATCTGGTACAGCCTGCAGAGGCATTCTTCACCCAAGGAGTTTCAAATTTCAACATGTGAGCCGTCCTGCTGAATAACATCATCAACGGGAAACAGCACTCAGAGACCTCATCTAGTGGTAACAAGAGCTCTGTGTAATGCCCCGAATCATGTTTTGCACACGACAGTAATAAATGGTGCAAACTGTAACAGGTCCTTTATCACTTTGTTTCTTGCCAAAGGGACTGAATTCCACACTGCTGGGGTTGAAATCCCCTTGTGGGCGTCCTCTGGGGCCATTTCATAGCCCGTGATAGCACTATTAACAACCCCCATCCTGTGCATGGACCAGCCCATAGGCTCACATTTTAATGTAGTCACAGGGAATCTCATGGTCAGTTCCTTTTCTAAGATCCCATCTCTCACCTCCCTGTCTGCCCAGGCGTTCCTGGAAAATCCTTGGTTGGGCCCATTTCCTTGCCCCTTGGTAAATCCTGGCTTTATTCTTCCACACTGTGTTTTTGATATCCCTGGCTCTGCCCTCTGCATCCTATGGGTTTGTCCCACCACTCCTGGAGTTCTCTTCAAGGTCAAGATTTTACCATGTTCTTAAAGGTGAAACCCTATAATAGTTGGGTGTTATGTGTCAGGGATGTATTATTTACAGGGGCACTATTATCATCACTAGTAAGGAAATTGAGGCTCAGAGTTTGAGTAAATTGTCCAGGTACAAGATATGAACCCATGTCTGTCTCACTTCTAAGACTGTGATCTTTTTAAGGGATAAATAAAGGAATTCCAGAATATGGTCATGGGAGTCCCACATGGGAATCCGTACTTCCAAGTGGGGGAAGGAGAAGGAAAGAGAAATAAGGAAAACATGACCCAGAGTAGTGGCCCTGAATTCAAAGGAGGAGAATTTTGAGACATGGTGAATTGTGTCTAAGGCCACAGTTGGAGAATATGGAGACCATTGGCATGAAGAAAACTATTGGCAAGTGTTTTCAAGAAAAAGTTCAGTTGAGTAATGGGTCTGGAAGAGGTTAAGTAGTGGGTAGACTGCAAACAAAAAGGGCCACCACCTAGATGATGGAATAAAGTGAAAGGCTGTTCTGTATCTACTAAACTTGAAACTCGGGGTGGAGGGGGACGGGGCGGGGACCCAAGAATTGTTTTGACAAGCCCTCCAGGTGATTCTGATACACACTAACGTTTGTGGACCACTGCTATAGTACAGTTCTCAGCCTTGGCCACACAGTGGAATCACCTGGAATAATGATGCTTCTGCTCTATTCCTGAAATTCATTTAGTTGCTCCAGGCAATAGGGGTGTTTACAAAACTCTACAGGTGATTCTAATGTGCAGCTAAGACTTGAAAACCACTGCTACCTCAAATAGGAAGTGGAAGGGGTAAAAATAACTGTGATGCCAAGGGCTAGCTGTGCCAGACATTGTGCTAAGGATAAGAACATGCTTTTAAAGCTTTAATGGGCATAAGGAAAACCCAGCGAGCTCCCAGGTGCTTTACGGGCATTGCTCCAGTGAATCTTCATGACAAGACTATGAGGCAGGTATGATGGTTATTCCCATTTTACAGATGAAGACACTGAGGTTCCATGAAGTTACCTGACTTGCTGGAGCATCAAAGCTGGAACTTGAAAACCAAGTCTTTGACTCCAAAGTACTGATTCCTTTTTTTAGAATTGTGATAAAATATATATAACATAAGAATTTGCCACTTTCACCATTTTGAAGCATACGGTTTTAGTGGCATTAAGCACATTCACAGTGCTGTGTAACCACCACCACTATCCATTTCCGGAACTTTTTCATCATCTCAAAACATATACACTGTACCCATTAAACAGTAACTCCCCATTCTCCCCTCCCTCCAGCTCCTGGTCACTCCTATTCTACTGTCTGTCTGTCTGTCTGTCTCTAAGTATTCGTTCTAAATCATCATTTCCAGATGAGCTCAAAGAAGAAATGAAGGTGCTGAGGTTGATCATTTTTTTTCTTTGAAAAAGGTATCTCTGAGTTAGGTGAGGCTCCCACCTGAAACCCATGTCCCCAGATACTTAAAAACTTGTAATTCCCACCAAACAGCATAAGCTCTCTTGCCTCTGTTCCACAGCACAGGTGAATCTCTTTTCCCACCTTGCCTTCATTTAGCAAACTCTATCTCCTCCTCCAAGTCTCCCTCCAGGCATGACCATCCCTAGGGATCTGAACCAAACTCTTCAACTAGCATGGTCCCACAGACCAGGCTTGGCAAACTAACGTTAACTCGAACCACCTAAGCGTCTTACTAAAATGCAGGTTTGGATTTAGTGAGTCTGGGTTGGGGCCCTAAGATTCTGAGTTTCTATCAAGCTTCCAGGTCCCTGGAACACACTTTGAGCTGTGAGGTCAGAGAGGGCAGTGCTTCACCATAGCATGTTATTTGTTGTATTTTTTTTTTAACTCTAGTGTTTCCTTGGCTGTTTCTCCACTCCACTATAAATACCTTGAGGGCAGAAACCCATCTTATTTATGGTTATATTCCAGAGACTAGCATGGTGCCAACCCAGAGTAACTCTCAATAAATGTTGAATGAATGAATAAATAAATGAGCTCACAGGCTGGAAGGATAAAAAGGAACAGATCTGTGAAGAGCCTGGTAAGCCATACTAAGGAATTTGAAATTTATCCTGAAGTTATGGGGAGCCACTGAAGGATTTTAAGAGGCTGTTATATCAAATGTGTATGTGCAGTGTGTAAGATGTGTTGGAAAGGACCAAGAATGAAATTAAGGAAACGATAGTGAGCTACTGCACTAGTCCAAGCAAATAATTATGAAGGCAAATAATTATGAATAAATAAGGTAGTGATGGTGGGAATGGGGAGGAGGAAGAGGTTTCAAGGCCATGTAGATGGTTAACCACATATCCCCGTTTGCTTCTGACAGACCCAGTTTCCTTCTGGTTCACTTATTAATAATGTCTCTTTCATTCCCCAGAATGCCCTGGTTTGGATGATAATTATCTTTTAACCCAGTACATAGGAGATAAAGTTAATAGAACATGAGGTGGGGTTGGGGAGCAGAGTGTTTCTGCCCTGGGTGACCCAGGGAATGGTAACACCATTCACCAAACCAGGCAGTCCAGGAGGAGAAGCAACAGAAGTTTCTTTTTAAAATAAAAATAGTTATAAAGTGAGTCAGTGAAAAATATTCAGTAAATTGCAGTAAGAGGATGACAAAAATTGCAAAGGAGACACACAAATGGTTGAAGTCTGGGGAGTATTGAAGGAAGTTATCATCCTCCCTCCCTGAACCTCTGAACTGAGTTAGTCTCAGAGCCATTTATTAGGAAACCTGCCCTCATCTGCCATTCACACCAGCTGCAGATGGGAAGTCGAAATGGCCAATTAATTCCGGGTTTTTTCCCTCACTTCTCACTTTCTTTTTTTGGCTGCATTGGGTCTTCCTTGCTGCGTGTGGGCTTTCTCTAGTTGTGGCGAGCGGGGGCTACTCTTTGTTGAGGTGCATGGGCTTCTCATTGCGGTGGCTTCTCTTGTTGCAGATCACAGGCTCTAGGCACGTGGGCTTCAGTAGTTGCAGCACGCAGGCTCAGTAGTTGTGGCACACGGGCCCTAGAACACATGGCGTGGACTCAGTAGTTGCGGTGCGAGGGCTCTAGGGCACACGGCCTTCAGTAGTTGTGGCACGTGGGCTCAGTAGTTGTGGCTCGCAGGCTCTAGAGCGCAGGCTCAGTAATTGTGGCGCAAGGGCTTAGTTGCTGCGCGGCATGTGGGATCTTCCCGGACCAGGGCTCGAATCCGTGTCACCTGCATTGGCAGGTGGATCCTTAACCACTGCACCACCAGGGAGGCCCCACTTCTCATTTTCTTCTCTTCAAGTCACTGCTGCATCTGCTCCCAACAGCCAAGGACTTTTGAGTATCTTCAGCATCAACTGGATCACAGCTGACCGTGGTCTTTCAGGCAGTCAAAACAACGACAGAGCACACCAAGGCCTAGTTAACTGAGTCTTCTCAAAAGAACACATCCCCCGGTTTGAGCCAAAGGTCAGGGAACACCAAAATGTTCTACCTCATTTATAAGCCCCGTGACCCAAGATCCTCACTAATGTCTATTCATACTTGCCAGCACCTTGGCTCTTCCCTCCCCTACAACATGTCAGCAACTGGGTAATTATTTAATAAACCTCAGAGCATACCTTTGCTTCTCTCAGCCAGAGAGACCAGGGATTTTCCTGGTTTCAGTTTCAAGGTGGTTCTGACTTCAGAGTTCCAAGTGTGGTCAAGCGGAAGAATAAATTCACCCGCTAGAGCCTTTTGAGGGAACTTTCAAACAAAACTCTGGCTTTTCAAGTATTAAGAGGAAATGACAGACTGAACTAAGCTCAGTATTCATTTTAATACGCGTGTTAAAGGTTATGTTAGCAGCTGTCAAATTGCTGGCCGGCTCTAACTACATCACTCTTCACCCTAAATCAGATATCTTGGGTGGCACCCGGAACTTCCTTCTCTGGGCTGACCCTAAACAACAGGATTGTTCAAGAAGGTGAATTTTGTCTTCCAGGCATTCCTATCACTTGTGCTAACATTAGCCTGATGAGCAAGAGAGCTGGAACCTGGGACCCCGAGCCCGGAGACCCTTCTGCTTCCGCTGGAGGCTCAGAGAACTCTACATCCTCCAACCACATCGCCTGCTGGAGGTCGGACGCCAAGCCCATCCGTCTGACAAGTGTGAGCACCGAGGACTTCTGTTACTCAGCCTGGGGGAAGCCTAAGTGGCCTCTGCACCCCACCATGATTGCCTCCTTGGCAAGTAGAGAGAAGTTGTTTCTAACCCCAGGTCCATCTTACTGCACCAATCAGAAGCAAAAGATACTAAGTTCAGAGTCCTAAGAAACCACACCTCACAGCCACCAGGGCCTTAATCATACTCAAAGGCCCCCAGCCCCCAGCCTCACTGCCCCATGGCATCCTTAGCCATTTCGGTGCTCCCCTTCAAGGGTCACGCGTGGCTGTGGGAGAGCTAATCTCAAAATCCCACCAAAGATTGGTGTGGCACAGGAGCCCTCTCTCTATCATGTTCCCACCACCTACTGCCTGCCCCCTTCTCACAGCATCTTCGTTGTGGTTGGATGCTCAGTCAGTATTAACAGGAACTGAGTCATAATGCAAGCAAGTAAAGAAATGTTCTTGGTGGTTAAACAAAAGTCCCTGAATAGCTGGTACTGAGAAAACTTCATGCTGTCTCTCCACAGGTAGTCCCAACTTTGTCTTTTTCAAAATGACAAAAGGATTTTGTGGACAGTGAAACTATTCTGTATGATACTACAATAGCAGCTACATGCCATTCTACATTTGTCAAAACTCATGGAATGTGCACCACACCGAGTGAACCCTAATGGATACTACAGACTATGGTGTAATGATGTATCAAGGTAGGTCCATCAATTAAAGCCTATTATTTCTAAGTAAGTTAAGTTTCTCAAAGCTGGAGAATCAATCTCTCTCTCTCTCTCTCTCTCTCTCTCTCTCACCCCTGCATCGCTGGTGTTCCCCACTCACTGGGTCATTCCACACTGACCACCAAGCTACAAGGTCAGGGAGGACTAAAAGGCTTGTGGCTTCTCCCTGGTTCTGTAATGGTTCAGTTTGCCAGAAAGAGGAAAGGGAATATTGTGGTCGATGATTGATGTCTATAAAAGCAAAATGTTCTCAGAAGATAAGGAAGTATAAGTGAAGTGGCAGCCCTTCAAAGAGATCCCAAAAGAGAAAGTGGATAGAAAAGGGATGAGATTAGAAGAGGCAGAGACAAAAGTGCAAGATCACAATGAAAAACCCAAGTGAGATGGAGACACTCTTGACCATGAAAAGGAGAGTGGGCATCAGTTGGGAGGAGGTAAAAGACAGTGGCATTCTGCTGTCCGCAGAGAGGGGAGCAAACAGCCTCACCCTCCCTGCCCTAGGGGCTTAAATAAAAGGGAGAGTGAAGAGGGCTTTGTAGAACAGTGACACCATCAGCTGGCTTCTGTCCCACACCATGTACTGCAGAATCCACATGATGAATGAATGAGTTGCCAAGAAAAGGTGAACTTACAATCAGCATCCCCAGTTTAGATGGAAGGGTGAAATAGCTGGAAGGATTTTCCAACAAAAAACACTCATGTGATAAGATTCCAAAGGCAAGAAGATAGTATTTGTCATATCACAGATTGCAGTTCCCGTTGGTCCCAGCGTTCCCACTTACGGGAATTTCTCCCACAGATTTCCTTGCACCCGTGTGAAATGCTGTATGTACTAGGTCACTCACTTATAATTGCAAAGCTTGGAAACCACATGATTGGTCATCAAACAGGGGACTTGTTAAATAAAGGATGGCACATAGAATACTGTACAAGTGTAAAACAGAACAAAAAAACCCAAAGAAGCTCTCTATGTGTTGATAAGGAAACATCTCTGAGATACATTGCTTAGTCAAAAAAGGCAGGCTCAAAACTGTTTGCAAGATATGCTACATTTGGGATAGAAATTAAAAGGGAAACGTTCTTAAATGTGTGTTTCTGCTTGTATTTTCATTAAAAGGGGCTATCTGCCAGAAGAGCGGTGAATTAAGTGTGGGTAGAGGAAAGTACAAAGGCTTTTCACAGAGTACCTTTTTGTATCGTTTTGGTTTTTGAATCACATCCATATATTACTGATTCGAGATTTTAAAAAAAGAAAACGTGGTTCAGAGGGTAAGAGCTGTGAGTGCGAATGGTTGAACCGCCTGCCATCTAGAGATTATTTTCCACCCCAGCACAGCGAGTCCAGATAACAGCAGTTTGCTGTATCTGCATATTAGGAGAACTCTTGGGTATTTGTATTAAGTCAGGGCTCTTATAGGAATAAGCATGGGAAATCCAGCTCAAGTTTACCGAAGTTAAAAAGAGATTCACGTAACTGGAGAGTCCAGAGGTAGAGCCGGCTCTGGGGATGGAGGGCTTTGCTCGTCACTGAGGGACTACCTAGGCTGCAGGCTCACTAGGTGTCATCTATCTCATGGCACCCTGACCCAAACCACAGTGCAGATGGCTGGTAGCCCCTTCAGCATTTTGCAAGCATTGATTTTGGAGGTCACCCCCCCCACCCCAGTGTGAGTTTGGCATACCGCTGCCCTTCATTTTAGAAGATGAATCTGCTGGGGGTGACCCAGGAGCGTCAGAAGCTTCTCCTCCAGGGCTTGAGGCTGTGGTTGCTCTCTTGTGCAACAGACAAGATGCAGATGCATGACATTCTGGCCTTGAGAATGCAGGGTATTCAGAGCCAGACCAAGAGTATGTGTGTGGGGAGACGGCTGGGCCTCCAGGCTTGCCAGAATCAAGGAATGGGAGAGAATGGAGACCACTTATCTTCCTCCCACTCCCCCTTCCTCATTCCAGGCCCAAATACCAGACCAGTGTGTCTCCAAATGAGTAAAAACTGGGAACATGGGACTATGCCACATGTAAGGGATGTTAGGAAACCCAAACACAGCACAACACTGATGTACTTAATTTGGTTTATGAAATATAATTTCTGTGGAATCCTCTGTTAATGTTTGGGGAGAAAAAAAAAAAAAAAGATGCACTGGATTAGAAAACAAGAGTCCCAGACAGGAATCTGTTGCCATCCGGTGGTAGAACCACTTACAGGTCACTGAACCTCTTTTGCTTTGCCTTAGTTTCCTCATTTGAAGCATGTGACAATTAACTGCCTGACCAATCTCACAGAGGTTAAATAAGAACACGAGAAGCTTGGAGAAGTATAAACATAACTTTGAAGTTAACTGAAGGTACATTATTACCTACCTGGCTTACATTTACTTATCTTTTTTTTTACCTGAAAAGATTGGCAGCAGGTAAAATTTGGTTTGCTCTGAATCAAGTTGGGTTGGCTTTTCTGACCTGTGGGGTCAGGGAAGACTTTAATTTCATAGTGGAATCTGCAGCTTTTTGTCTGTGCAAGATCCATTTATCATCCCTTTCTTCTGAGAAACAACTTTCCCGCACCATCAGCCCAGTAGTTTGGGTGGTGTGGACCCCTCAATGCTCCAGAGGTGGACATGTGATGCTGGTCTGACCAATCAGAGCATCATCACGCCTCCCTGGGCATGTGACCCAAGGCAGCCAATCAGAGACAGTGAGTTTCAATTGGAGAGCTTTGGTTGGAACTTTTAGGAAGCCCTCTCATTCCACTGGACAGTTTGTAGCCTGGGTCTTCTAGAAGCCATCTCACTCCCACCAGGGGAAAGCCTGCCTGAGAATGATGCCAACAGAGAGAAAAGCAGAGCTGAGAGAAGGAGAGAACAGATGGAGTCCTGGTGGCACTTGTGGATCCAGCCATCCCTATAGCCAGCTCTACCCCCGGACTTCTCATTACTTGAAGCAATAGATGCCCCTTTTTCCTTCAACAAATTTGAGTTGGATTTCTGGTGCAAACTTCTGATACTACTATTCAAGAATCTCTACAGAGATGAGCCATCCTGCCCACATGCAAATCTACATGAATTAAGAACACATAAGGTGGGCTTCCCTGGTGGCGCAGTGGTTGAGAGTCTGCTTGCCGATGCAGGGGACATGGGTTCGTGCCCGGGTACGCGAAGATCCCACATGCCGCGGAGCGGCTGGGCCCGTGAGCCATGGCCGCTGAGCCTGCGCGTCCAGAGCCTGTGCTCCACAACGGGAGAGGCCACAACAGTGAGAGGCCCGCGTACCGCACACACACACAAAAAAAGAACACATAAGGTTTAAACTCTACCTTTATAGAGTCCAAGTGGAGCTAGAATCCTTTCCCGGATAAATATACTTCATAGTAGCACCCAGTCGACATATTGTAATTTAACAAAGACACAAACTACTAAAATAAAGAAATATTTCATTTTATTTTACTCCTTTAGCCATGAGGTCCAAGGAAATGCAAGTTCATGGAAATTAGAAGTAATACCAGAATATGGATAAGATCAGCTTTAGAGATTTCATGGAATCAGCAGAACGTGATTGTCTGGAGTGATTTTTGGCCTTCTCAGTTTGCCAAGCCAGGTGTACCATTTTGTCTAGCCCATTTAACAGTTTCTGTGGTAACTGTCCAGGATGAAGAGAGTCATCATAGAATGGAGAAGCCCAAACAACTGAAACGTTTCCAGCACACAGAGCAGAACAGTCAATATTACAAGGTGACACAGACTATTTCAGCACTTAATTAGTAAACCAGAGTAAATCTCATTATGCAGCACTACAAATATCCCTAGCCATGCCTTCATTTGCTCATTCCTTCATTCATGCATTCAGTGAGTATTTATTTATTAAGCACCTACTGTGTACCAGGAGGCAGCCTGGTAAATGCTGGAGTTACAAAGACAAAGATTAAGGCGCAGACTCTGCCCTCAAGGAGCTCCCAATCTAAATCTTGCAGAGAGATATAGAAATGAATGACAATGCATCCAGAAGGGCTGATAACAAAAGTCTGTTCCAAGGGAGACCCAGCTCTGGATTCATTCTACTGCAGGTTCCACGGTAAAGGTCAGTGGCATTCCTCCCCCTCTGCAGAACATAGCTTTAACCAGGATTTCAGTTCCAGTGTTACACAGAGAGCCACAGCATTATAACAAGTTACCACTAACCCAGCAGCAGGTCTGAGGCTCTCACCACTGAACCTTTAGGGGAAATAGAGTGTGACCTTGCGGAAGTGGCTGACCACCCCTGAGTCTCACTCCTTCCTCCACAGCTATCCAGGCGGGCTGCTCTGCCCTTGGCATATGCCCTCAAGGTCTGGACCCACTTGGCCAGACATGGGATTATGGTCTGGAGGGTCCCTGAAGAAGAGTTCCTTCTCTTCAACTTCTAAACCTAAGCCTTCCTATTTCAAGACCCACTTCTTCCTCTGGAATGACCTGCTCTTCATTTGTCATTTTTGATTTGGGTGAAAAGTGGCACCATGTGCAGGTCTTGCTGAGCAAAGGACCTGCTTCACATTTTGTAAAGTGTGCAAACATCCAGCCATAGGCATTAAGAAGAGGAGCAAACAAACTCCATCACACACCCTGCTTCCCTTTCTCCTCTCTCAGACCTGCGCTCCCATCATCACGTTGACCGGCGTAAAATGAATGCAAGGTGTTAGTTGCAGCTTCTGAGTCAGACTGTATGTCAAGTTATGCCAGTAACAATAAAGGGTCGTTTTATAAGTGGAATCTGCAATGCTGTTTGCAGACTGGCTTTTGCAGAGGTTTAGTATTAAGCAAAAGTCTCCTTCCCATAATCCTGCCTTACTTGGATATTCCCTGAGACACACTCCCCTCTCCCCGCTCATCTGGTAAAGACAACAGTCCGGAATCCAGTGAGTTTTTCCTGTTGGTTGTTCACCTGCATTTCACTCTGTTGTTAGAAGGCTTTTGATTTCTAAGCTGCCTTGCTAAATCAATCCTACCTGGAGTTACATCACTACGGACTGCCAGTTAGCAGCAAGGGTAGAAGCTTGGTCTCTGTGAGCAGGGAGGCCTGTGGGGGGGACAGAATTTCAAAACCGTGGTCTTCCGTGGTCACTGAGTTAATGTGCATAGTGGTATTAAGGCCTTTCAACAGAAGCATTTTGCTTGGTTCATCTAAAAATCATAGCCTCTTAGTGTTAGTTTATTAACGAAATCTTAATGATCATTATAAATTGAATTTTATAGATGCTCTTGAGATATAAAATTATACAGTGTATTCTCTAAAAATGAAATTTTAAAATGAATATTCCCTGATTTTACTTTTTAATGAATTCCTCCTTTAGTGTATTTCCATAAATCTCTTACACACAAAGAAACAAAACAGAATCTGTACAAAAAATAAGAGGTCTCCATTTTCTGGAACACCTTATCTTTTCTGTAATGAATTTGTTAATATAAAAAAGTGTCTACTTAGAAAATTATAAAAACATTGCTACAATGTCATAAATGCTCTACATTCTCTAGGAAAATATACCTTTGGAAATAGTACAACTATTGGGAATTCTTAAAGAAATTCAAGTCCTGGATGTGCTGCAGATGAATTCCACGCAGGGCAGCGTTAAAACCCTGTCTATCCTCTGTACCACTTCTAGAAATTGTCTGCCACTTTCCTTGAGTGAGATTGAATTCTCCTTTCTTCAAACATCACCATTGATTTCTGTGGATATCCTTAGGGTGACACTCTATTTTTAAAAAAATAAAAAAGGTTTAAAAGAAGGTAAACAATTCCAGTGCCAGCTCTGAAACTCCCAACAGCTTCGCACCCCCTCAGAGATGATCTCACTACGGTTTGTACTGAGCTCGAGTTGGGTCCTCAAGAGTTTTCTTGGCCTTCTCTCTAACCTTTTAGCTAGTAATTCACTTGTTTCAAAATGTAAGATTTTCCCTGTTGCCAAATCTGACAAGGTCCCATCTTCTCTCTGCCTTGAGAACATTTTTCAACAACACACTTTTATTTTTAAGAAAAGACATATTTCCTGTTATTTGGAACTTGTGAGACCTCTTTGAAAAAAAAATAACCAGGATCTATGACTATAAGCATCAAATGGCAGAGGACAGATGAACGTTTCCTTGTTTAGGAGAGCTATTCAAGATGATTTCCTTTGGGAATACACTAAATTGCACAATACTTACATATTTTTTCAAACACATAAGGGTAAAAAGATAGTGCTCTTATGTTAAATGCAAGAAATGTTCTATGGATTTCTACTAATCCGCATCATAACTTATAACATTTGTATTGATAAATACCTACCTGGAAATCGTAGATGAATGTTAGAAAGTAGAAAATAAAACCAAAGGCCACTGTCCATTCACAGATCGCACTCACTACGTGATATACATAATCCTAAGAGCAACAACAAAAAAAAGAAACAGAATTTAGCCTAAATGCATTCACTTTAGTGGACATACTGAAATAATAATGAGCAGGTCAGGCCAAAGGAAAAAGCTGTCCAGTGAGCATAAATCAACCCCCGGAGGAAACACGGTAAGCAAGGCCATGTGGATGCACATCAGGGCAACTGCCCGATAAGAATGTGAATACAATGACCCCAAAAGTTCTCTCTGGTTCTCACACACTCTGGCTTTAAGACTTGTCTGTGGAACCTCAACAGGCAGAAGAAGGATCACAAAACGGCTGAGAGTGGAAAGCAAATTTGGACTCAACAGAAGAAAGAACTTTCCATACAAGGCACGACTTGCTCTCCCACAGCTGGGAATCCCAAAGTTGAAAGGCAGGCTTGAAAAGCACCTACCCAGTGTCCATGTGGTTATTCCAGACTTCAAATATGCATCTAAAGGAAACTGGCTATCACCCCTGGGTTTTGTGTTTCTCTGTTACTATAGAAAACGTCAGTTCAGAAAATAGGTCTGCTTGATGTTATAAGGTAAGCACAGCTACAAAGCAAATGCTAATTATGAGACTATTTTCTTGGGGGCAGGAATGAGAGAATGGAGGACAAGAAAGAGAATGGCTTTAATTCGGGGTTCCAAAGTCAGCTGCCTCTGGAGGCCATGAAACTAATAAAAAGAAATGAAACTGACGGTTGCAAAAAGAGGGACAATGGGGAGCCCACGCCCCATCAGCTCAATTCCATTCTCGCCAGGTAGGAAAGTATGATCCCAGTGTTCCTTTGAGATTAAGAAAAGAGAGAGAGAGAGACTTCCCTGTTGGTCCAGTGGTTAAGACTCTGTGCTTCCAATGCAGGGGGCTCGGGTTTGATCCCTAGTCAGGGAACTAAGATCCCACATGCCATGCGGCGGGGCCAAAAAAAGACCCACGGAGTGTGTGTGTGTGTGTGTGTGTGTGTGTGTGTGTATGTGTATGTGTGAGATAGCTCCCCTGATTTTTAAATACTGGAAACCATTTTTAAAAAGCATTTTTAAACACCATCTAAATAAAAAATGCTTGTCTAAATTCTGACTTTAGCCCACATGTCCAGTTAGCCTGTGGACTGTCATCAGTTCGAGCCCTCTGCTTTCAAATCATAACCTATATTTTCTTCCTACTTCACTGTCTGCTCTGCCGTAGGTTACAAGTGTGAACAAACAAGTGTGCTAGATTACAGGTCAGTTCTTTTCTTTGATCCACCACAAAGATCTAATTGAGGCACATCAAACTCTTAGACACCACCGCTCACCCTCCCCACGGAGGATCACATCCTCCCACTGTTCTCATCCAGGCCACTCCGGGGAGAATCTGACCGGCCTACGTTACAGGGTCGAGAATGGGGGCCGCTTCCTTTTCAAAGGTGACAGCACTAGGGGATCCACCCCATCTCCTATCATCTCTAGACAATGAAGATGGCTTAATCAAATAGAAGCAGAATTTGGGGGTGGGAGAGGATTTCTGTAGCATGATATTAATAACAGTGCACTGAAGGAGGGGTCCAGACTCTTCCACTACACATATATGAACGCAGGCAAAGCTCTAATCTCCTTGCTACGTAAAATGGGACAAGGACATCATAATTCTTACCCTCCCTGCCACGTTAAGTCAATGCACAGGAATGTGCTCTGAAACCTCTGAAGCACTCCACAGTTTGGGGCAGGACCTAAATGATTATTCTGTTCCGTGAACTTATGTAAAGAGTTTTCTTTGCATTCGTGGATATTGGGGAACAGAAGGGGAGTGAATAGAAAACCAGGTACTTTTCACATTTTTAAGATAGAAAATTAAATGAAAAAAGGTTTTTCAACTGGGGAATATGCTTTGATGAATCCTTCCCAGCTGCTGATTTGTTTGATTTGTGGTGGAAGGCCTCCCCCCAGTGGTTAAGAAGTAAAATACACCTAGGGCTACTCTTCTGTGAGCTCTCCTTATCAGGAAGCACTTTTTTTCTAACTTCTGCCTGGCTCGTCCTCACTGTCTTCAGTCTCTCACTTGCTTCTTGCAGGCTTCCATCACCTGCCAGAATCCCCTCTGGTGGAAAATGCTTCCTCTGACCCTGCCATTACCCCGACCAGGGATCGAACCCATGCTCCCTGCAGTGGAAGCACGGAGTCAACCAATGGACCACCAGGGAAGCCCCTGAAACTGCTTTTTTTTTTTTTTTTAAACAAAGGGATTGGGCTTGTTTTTTTTTTTTTGGCTGCATTGGGTCTTCGTTGCTACATGCGGGCTTTCTCTAGTTGCGGCGAGCGGGGGCAGCTCTTCATTGCGGGGTGCAGGATTCTCATTGTGGTGGCTTCTCTTGTTGCAGAGCACGAGCTCTAGCCGCGCGGGCTTCAGTAGTTGTAGCAAGCTGGGCTCAGTAGTTGTGGCTCACGGGCTGTAGAGCACAGGCTCAGTAGTTGTGGCTCACGGGCTTAGTTGCTCTGCGGCATGTGGGATCTTCCTGGACCGGGGCTCGAACCCGTGTTCCCTGCATTGGCAGGCAGATCCTTAACCACTGCGCCACTCAGGGAAGCCCCTGAAACTGCTCTTTGAAAAACATCAGTAACTCCACCTGCCCCTTGGGAAAAACTACCGCTCCTCACTAACTCCCTTCTCTCTGTAGGTAACTAACGACATGAGATGATCTTAATTCGAAACATCTGATTCCTTGTGTTCTGATGTTTGGTCTGGAAACTACCCGTCACTCTACCCTATGCTCTGATGGCTCTTGATCCTACCCCAGGTCTAGTCCCCCATGTCTAACTGGACATTTCTCCTCGGCATTTCACTATAGCTTCAGATTCAACGATTCTGAAACCAAACCCATCCATTTCTCCCCATGAAATCATTTATTCCTGTTAAGGACCCAATCTTTTCTTCTTCTTTTTTAAAAATATTTATTCATTTATTTGGCTGCGCTGGGTCTTAGTTGCAGCACGCAGGATCTTTTAGTTGTGGCACATGGAATCTTTAGTTGCGGCATGCAAACTCTTAGTTGCAGCATGTGGGATCTAGTTCCGTGACCAGGGATCAAATCTGGGCCCCCTGCATTAGGAGCGCTGAGTCTTAGCCACTGGACCACCAGGGAAGTCCCAAGGGACCCAATCTTATCTGTTCATGAGAACAGGTTCTTTGGTTCACCCAAGACAAAAACTTGGAAGTCATCTTCACTTCATCACGTCCTTTCATTCTTATGCTATTTCTTCCAGTCTAGGGGAATCTTGATTTAAAATCTAAACTAGTGGAACTGCCTTGTCTCTGCCATTCTAACTCCGGTCTCTCTCCTCTTCAATACATCCCAGGTGTCTCTTCTAATTTTCTTCCAATAATATTCTTTTTTTTTTTTGCGGTACGCGGGCCTCTCACTGTTGTGGCCTCTCCCGTTGCGGAGCACAGGCTCCGGACGCGCAGGTTCAGCGGCCATGGCTCACGGGCCCAGCCGCTCCGCGGCATGTGGGATGATGCCGAATCCCACACGAACCCGTGTCCCCTGCATCGGCAGGCGGACTCTCAACCACTGCGCCACCTGGGAAGCCCTCCAATAATATTCTTTTCATTTACTTTCCTGTTCAAAAGCCTTTGGCCGATCACCTACATCAAGCATGAGCCTCTCTGCCCACCTCTTAAAGCCTTGCACAAACTATTCCCCCACAACCTTATCCCCGACCGCATTTATTTCTCACCCTATGCTGATACAAACCATCTTCTACTCTGTTTTCATCACCTCTGCTTAACATGTGGTGCTTCCTCTGACCTCCATACACCTTCATTCGCATTGTTTCCCTACCCTTAAATCTCACCTCTTTTACTAAGCCTCGATGGTTGAAGGGTTTAAAATTTCAAATTTTAAAAAATAATTTTGAAAATAATTCAAGGGACCAGGTTTGACAATCATATTGAAAACAGCTTATAGTTTACCTTTTCTTTTGGATTCCACTCCAGCTTGGTTACAGAAATTAATGAAGCACAGGCAATCACTAAAAAACGAAATTGTTAAGGAAACTACAGGAGAAAATAGGTCCTTTATTAGAAGAATAAAGAATAGGTTATTCTTCTAATAATATAACCATTACACAATGTTCACATGTTAGTGCCAACATTTCTGCTATCAAACAAGTTATATCAGCTTCTTATCATCTCAAACCTTAAGTTCGATCATGGCAGCAGTTAAAATACAACACGGAAGTAGTCATTCCCTAGCAATACTTTGTCAGTTATGTATAGAAGACTTTTAATCTGTGGATACATTTTGCTTGACCCTGTTTTTTAAGTTTGGTCAAAATGACACAGCAGTCTAATATGGGTACTTTTGCAGTAGTTTTCCCCTAAAATACTATTGTCCCTAAATAATAATATTGATTAAAATTCTTTTTCCTAAAATACTATGTTCAAGGCAACAGCTTCAAGGAAAAAATTAACATTTCAAAGCATCACAAAGTACCAAGGCTCATATACAAAAACAAGCTACAGAAATTTAATGTATTATCTTTATAAAAATTTAAAAAAACAGATTTTTCCATTGAGTAACTGGGTGTAAGCAGAGCCCTTCCTCCCTGGCCCAAAGGGTTTACAAATCAGAAAGATACATCCTACATCTGACCTTGGGGAAGAAGGACAAATCCTGAGAGGCCAGCCTAATAAGGCCAGGGACTGAGGTTACTGCCCAACGTGGACAAGACTGTCTGCACAAAGGTGGTGACAACCATTTTGATTGAACATAGAAGGCCAAAGAGAAAGCTAGAGAGAAATGGGATGCTCTTTAAAAGTTTTTGCAAAATGTTAATTCCAAGTGTTGCATCAATCAATGCCAAGTTTAGCGCCTCCTCTGAATTTGGAGTCAGCACCCTCTCTCCCTGCCCTCCGCCACCTCCCATATTTTGCAATGCTTAACACCTCTCAGTTTCTCAAAGTAAAAGAAGTAGAGAATGGGACTTCCCTGGCAGTCCAGTGGTTAAGACTCCACGCTTCCAGAGCAGGGGGCGCGGGTTCAATCCCTGGTCAGGGAACTAAGATCCCGCATGCCGCTGGCCAAAAAATAAAAAGAAGTAGAGAACATTAAAGGTTCTCTAATCATGTCATGACCGTATGTCTGTTTCTAATAGTTTTAAAAGCCTCTTAATTCTTTCACTTAATTCTTTATCTCATCTTTAGTACCATCAGGTCCCATGCTGGGGAGGAGTGGGTGGGGGGGAGAGGCGGACAAAACTCTGGCAAAAAAGACCTGGTCTCAGCTCCCAGAAACATTACAGCCTTGTCGGACCCAGGGAATGTGCCGCGTTAGAGAGAAAAGAACAGGGTGCAGTCATGACTCGGAGGGAAGATTATTAATTTGGAGCGAAATGGGGTTTGAGGTGTCAGGGAAGCTACACTGAGTTGAGTTTAATCTAAGCTGTGAGGTTTGAGGAGCTCTCTAGGACAGCATCATCCCACAGAAATTCAGGCATATGTGTAACAATATTTTCTACTATAGTCACCACATTGACAGAAACGAAAAAGAGCCTAATGAAATTAATATTAACATATCTTATTTAACCCAATATATCAAACATGTTGTCATTTCAACATGTAATAATATAAACAATTATTAATGAGATATTTTACATTTTTTTTCTCATTAAGTCTTTGAAATCCAGTGTTTTACACTTACGGCCCTTCTCTACACAGACTACCCACGTTTCAATGCTCAACAGCCTCGTGTGGCCAGTGGCTACTGTGCTGGACAGACAGTTCAGTTCTAGAAAGACAAAGTGGAGAAGGTTATCCAGGCAAGAAGAAGAGCATGGGCAAAAGCAGAGAACAGGAAACAGCCACAGTCAGGGAAGAAAGTGTAAAACGGAGGTTGGAGAAATAGGCAGCCTCAGACTGCGTCTCACACAAAGGAACCGGCCTTTGCATTGTTAGTGATTTTGTGAAGCCTTTTGAAAGCTGCAGAAGCTGAATGCAAGATAGATAGTTTAGTAGGAAGGGCTCAGAAGCATGATTCCAGTTCTCAGTTTCTTCAGGAGTCAAATAAGGTTTCACGGAACTAATACAGGAAAGAGAAACAAGGACATTTTCAAGATACTTTAAAATCTTTCTAAGGAAATATAAATCCATGCTAATGTTTAAGACAAAAGACTTTTTCCTATGGATGAATTTGTTCAAGTTAATTAGATAAAAACATATAACCTGTTTCTGTTCAGGGATCCTACCCGTCAGCATGGCTCATACGAACTTCCTAGAAATGGGAACTATTAGTATGTGAAACTCTGGCTTGAAAAAGTAATTCTGCTAAACCTCTCTCATTTTAGTACCTAGAGATCTGTCTCCAAAGTTGGAAGCAAGGAAAGTTTTCCTATACCAAAAAACTTTGTTTTTGACTTTACAAGTGGTTCTATAAATCTTACAACTAAAACAAGCTAAAAGGTTTGAGGAGATCCGTCTCAAGAGAAAGCATGAATGTCTTCAATCCATAAATAGGACAAGGAAACAGAGAAGGAACTATCTTAGGAACCAGGGTGTATAGTTTGTTGTTAAATTTCTCAATACTAGAATTTGGTTCCTCTGTGCTTAGAAATTTTGTAATTAAAATTTTTCTTCCCTAAATGACAAAAACAAAACCCAAAACCATCCTTAGACTTCACATTTTGTATAGCTCCAATTTTTTTTTTAAGAAAATTTTTTAATTAATTAATTTATTTTTGGTTGCATTGGGTCTTCTTTGCTGCGCCCAGGCTTTGTCTAGTTGCAGCGAGCGGGAGCTACTCTTTATTGCAGTGTGCGGGCTTCTCATTGCGGTGGCTTCTCTTGTGGTGGAGCACGGGCTCTAGGCACGTGGGCTTCAGTAGTTGTGGCACACAGGCTCAGTAGTTGTGGCTCATGGGCTCTAGAGCACAGGCTCAGTAGTTGTGGTGCATGGGCTTAGTTGCTCTGCAGCATGTGGGATCTTCCCGGACCAGGGCTCGAACCCGTGTCCCCTGCATTGGCAGGTGGATCCTTCACCACTGCGCCACCAGGAAGTCCCTATAGCTCCAATTTTAAAAGAAAAATGCAAGGCTTAATACTTAGAAGCACATGATGACAAAATATCTTTTTACTCAAGCTTGCCCACTTTGTACCACAACCCAACTTGGATGAACAAGACCACCGCTAATAAAATAGTTCCATTTTCCTACAGTCTGAAAATAATCACCAATTTTTAATGACTCTTTAGCATTTGCTATGACTGCAGATGGTATTTTGAAAGATGGGGAATTTTCCACCCTTGAAAGACCACAGCTTTTTTTTTCTTTGTTAAATACCTCTTGGGGGAAAAAAAAGGAAAAGAAAGAATGAAAAAGGAAAAAAAAAAGGAAGGAAGGGTTGTTTTTCATTTCTTCTAAATCAGAATATACAGGTATGATAAATTTATATTTTCTTTTCACATTGTTGAATTAGAAAAAATAAAATTTCATTTTGAAAATGAAATCAGTGATAAAAAGAAAAGGCTAAATGTATTTAAATGACTTAGAAATAAATAGTATAGAGCTTTTTAAAACCTCTTAATATGGACGAATAAATCAAACCATCTAACCACCTATGTGTGGGGAGAAGGGAAAGTCGGGCTTCTTGGGAATCCACAGGGCTATTACTTTAAGTACAGTATCAATATTTGAGGTCTTTAGCCAAGCACTACAGAGAAAAATAAATATTTTCACATGGCTCATGAAACCGACCCTGTGGAAGGAAAGTAAATAGAGACTGAAGTGTTCTGACATTGTTTTTCATTTTCCTTTCACACCATTCTTTTCCCCAAAGATTCTTTTGATTTAACCAGACAACGCTGAGATATTTTCCTTATGATTTACCTGTTTCTCCCAATCGTTCTTCTGAAGCCTGTTGACACTTGGCTGTTAACCTTTGCTTTCTCCATTTTTTTTGGAGGGAAGTGGGGCGGCGAGGGTGTCAAGCTTGCAAGGACACTGACAAATGTAAGAAAGGATACTGGGGATGATGGCTGCAGAGGAAACGGCAGAGATGGCCATCCGTATGCGGCATGTGGAAAGGCTGTTCCACTGGGGACACGATTTGTAAGAGATGATGGATTGCAGGAGCGTGTACACAACACCGCAGACAAACGCCAAAAGGGCACCGCCATCGTGTACCACGGGGACAGTTAACTCCTAGAGAGAAAGTCACACATGTGCTGTTACTCAGCGTGAGTCTGTGCACATCAAGAGCCGAACACTCACTCACTTGCTTTGGGCTCCTCAAAGCCACCAGGCATCACAGATGCACACACCCCATCTTTGGAAAATACAGCTGCTTGCAGAAGATGACCAAGAGAAAAGCCTTCCCGGCACTGGAGTAAATGCCAGGAACTTGCTTGTTCCATAGTAAACGTTTGGCTTGCTGCGAGTTGGGCAGATGGGCCTGGTTCAGTAATAATATCTCAATAAAACTGGGGGGGAAAACCCATATTAAACCAAAAAAATTATAAAAGAATTAAGAAAAACAAATCCTTTTCACCCCTTGAATGTTAGGCACATTTGAGCAAGGGAAAATAAACAAAAGGCAAAGCATCTAATGCTAATGAGCTGGGGTTGTTTTAGGAATAACCTGATAGTCCTGGTACTTTCCACTCTCCATTTTCTTTCTATGCTAATAAGTAAATCAAATCCTGAATTTACATACTTTGTTTCCACCCCCCACTAGCACTGTCAGGAAACTTGCTTCCTCAACCCTGGCCAATTCAATACATCAGATCTTAATCTGCAAGCTTCATGACACCCACATTAGCCCTGATGAAAGCAGATCAAAAGGCCCTTGAATTAGCAGGAGGTGTACCTCCAGTGTGCCCTTTTCACTGTGGAATACATATTTGCTCATCAAAGATGTCTTTTAGAAGGGAAACGACTCAGATCAGACATGAATTTTGGATAGAGGTTAAGATGAAAACCTGGTAGCTCTTTTTGAAACTCTTGCTAATTTAAAAGATAATAGGGCTTCCCTGGTGGCGCAGTGGTTGAGAGTCCGCCTGCTGATGCAGGGGACACGGGTTCGTGCCCCGGTCCGGGAAGATCCCACATGCCGCGGAGCGGCTGGGCCCGTGAGCCATGGCCGCTGAGCCTGCGCGTCCGGAGCCTGTGCTCCGCAACGGGAGAGGCCACAGCAGTGAGAGGCCCGTGTACCACAAAAAAAAAAAAAAAAAAAAAAAAAGATAATAAAAGTAGAGAAAACTAGACTATTGAGAGGATTCAACCTCAGGAAACTTGACTTTTCCAAAAAGGAGACTTCTTGAGGGACAGGAAAGCATTGACGGAGACTGCTTGGTGAGGAGACACCAAAAAGTAGCCATCTTATCCACCAGTGCAGGAAAGAGTGCTAGCTGTGAACACCTGGTAAGTGCAGTTTACTCCGCCTCAAGAAAAAGCACCAGCCAATGCTGTCTCCCGCCCTCACATCTCTAATTCTTCTTGAGGCAACCGCTCACATAGGTTTGCTTACGGCACGCCGAAAGTGAATTGCAGGGTATCAAAAAAGGAAGTTGTAAAGATACATTTACGGGAACAATGACAAGGCAAACACTTTGCTCTCAGGAAAGTTAGAAATTCTATTTCTGGTCTTTGTGAAGATGTAATCACTTCACAGAAACCTTAAAAGGAACCAAAAGTGTAATTATCTAACCACCTAAGCCTTCTTCCTGAAGTCTGCCCTTTACGGTTTAAACACTGATGGCCGTTATCACTTGTGATGTTGAGTTATTCCGAGAATAATGTGATGGGATATCATACAGTGCATACTATCCCGCCCACAGGACAAGTCATACCCACACTCCACTAGACAACTTATATCCTTCCAAGTTGCCACCTTCCCTTTGGAAATAATGACGCTAGAACTGTGAATTTTTTCCCTAATTTTATGAAAAAAAGTTTATCATTCTTTTTTTTTAAGTTTATTTTATTTTTGGCTGCACTGGGTCTTCGTTGCTGCGCACAGGTTTTTGTCTAGTTGCGGCGAGCGGGGGGCTACTCCTCGTTGCGGTGTGTGGGCTTCTCATTGTGGTGGCTTCTCTTTGTTGTGGAGTGTGGGCTCTAGGCATGTGGGCTTCAGTAGCGGCGGCACGCGGGCTCAGTAGTTGTGGTGCATGGGCTTAGTTGCTCCGCAACACGTGGGATCTTTGTGGACCAGGGCTAGAACCTGTGTCCCCTGCATTGGCAGGCGGATTCTTTAACCACTGCGCCACCTGGGAAGCCCTAGAACTGTGAATTGTGTACATGCTTTTTTCTCACAGAGATTTTCTCATTCTGGCCTAGAGGTTAACTCTTCCCCACAGGTTCTGGGCAGACTGCTTCAATCAAAGGTGACTTTTCATGACTCACAGGATTTGGGGAGAGTATTAACCTCTCTGGGTCTCCATTTCTCCATTGATAAATGAGGAAAATAATACTACCTATCTTCTAAGGTCATTATTAGAATTATACAAGTTAAAGCATGAAATGTTTTCATAAATGTCTGTCACCTAGAAAACTTCAATAAGAATTCCCAGGTGGTCCAGTGGTTAGGACTCCATGCTCTCACTGCCGGGGCCAGGGTTCAATCCCTGGTCGGGGAACTAAGATCCCACAAGCCGTGCAGCCCGGCCAAATAAGAAAAAGAAAGAAGAAAAAAAGAAAACTTCAATAAATGTTGTTATGGAACCCAAAACGCACACAATCATAAAACGTAAGGAAATGTCATCAAGAGTCTCTACCATGTGACAAATGTCATAGGCAACTAGTGATGTTTATTTCCTAACACAGAGACAATAGAGTAGGAAAGTTAAACGAAGCCGGAAGCAAACTGAGTTCACAAGACACCCTCCTGGAAGCCCTATAGGCTTGCTTCAGGGAGGCTACAAATTTGGCTCTCAGCTTTCACCAGTGTTAACAAGGAAACACTGTTAGCTGTGGATTTGTAACATCCCAAAACGAAAACTTGTTGGCCGCCAGACCTGGAAGAATATCCCTCTCCTAGGTTGTCCTGAAGGTTCTGTGTCATACAAGGAAGGATGCCTCACCCCTCACAACACAGCACTGAGTTTCCCAGAGCACTTTATTATACTGTGCCCCCCACCCATGACAGATGGCTTCCTGCATGTGCAGGGCAGAAAAGGTGATTCTCTGAGGCCCACGTGATGCAGGTGAGGCAGAGGGCCCTCTGACAATGGTCTGACTCATGCAGGAGCAGACACTAGAGAACAGGTGGACAGCAGACAGTACAGGTGGTGTCCTGAGGTTATCAGCCTCCCAGCTACACACCAGGAGGCAGTGCCCCTCTGCTGCAGCTTCAGTGTGCAGATGTGGACTTGAACAGCCAGCTAGCACTGAAGGCTGACATGTTTTTATAAAGTAAGCATCACAGAAGATCAACCCACTTCTGGTGGGAGAAAAGTTAAAGGAGTACCCCCAGGCAGAACCAAAAGTCCTCCAGGAGTAACCTCCTTTCTACGGTCACAAAGGGACAATGGTGATGACAGAGCAGGCCCTCCAGGGTGTTGGCCTATAGTGATGAACCGATGACCATGAAGACGGCTAAGTACAGACTGCTGGGCACTGTACATTATCTCATCGAATCCCAGCAATAACCCTGTAAGGCGAGTGCTCATAATTAGTACTCCTTTGAAATACAACACATACTTGTAAAATATAAAATATTGCCTCCATAGACAAATACCATGCCTTCCTGAAAGAGACTTCGGAATGAAAGGAATCCAAAAATTAGAATAAAACATGTAGGATATTTTCCAACACTTGACACAGTAAGAATATGTCAAGCGGACTCTGCAGTAGGTGTTGCATAAGTTAATTTGCTCAGTAAGGCCATATTTTGGCCCTGCAACTGATTAGCTGAGTAACCCTGACCAAATTATTTCACCTCCATGTCCCTAGATCCTCATCTGTGAAAGGAAGAGATCAGATGCCTCTCTTTGAATTGAACACCAGAGGCCCAAACAGTAGAATCAGTAAACATACACACGCTCATACACAGAAACGTTTTCACGATGTTAATGAAATCATTACAATGACTGAAGTAGCTCTCCCAGCACATTAAACCACATCAACAAGAACACAGAGCAACCCAGAGCCCACAGCATGGTCTGAAGCACGCTCTCTCTCACACACGCACCCCATCTCTCCCAAGTACTAGGCTGGGCTGACTTGCAAATGACGAGGATTTGTTTCTAAGAAGCAAACTATCCCAGTATTCATACGCTCATCAACTATTTGAGAGCTGTGCTGGCACAAGGGTGCCTCTGGTGCTCTTGCTTCTCTCCTCCAGACACATATACTCCATCACCCCCAATAACCAGAAAAACTTCAGGTCATACCTGGAAATTGGCTACAATGCCCAACCCGATGCATCCCACCAATCCTAGAACTAACGACACCAAGTTAAAAACAGGAGTGCTGAAATCGCTGGTTTGGTTTTGCTTCTCTACTATTTTATATCTTGTGTACATCGTGGCTGCACCTGAAAAAGAAAGGGACTCTGATGAATTTTTATTTTTTGACTTTTTAGAAGGAAAAACACATGAACAGTTTTTATGGCTTTTAAAATAATTTGTATTTTCAGTCTCCTGGTTGCAATAGTCTCCCCACTCGTTCACACCTGCCCTTCCTCACCCCATCTTACTCTCCCCCGCCATGTGACGCATACACACACACGCATACACACACACACACACACACACACTGTCTTGGCTGTTATCCTTTTCACATAAATGCTATTGTGCACGTATTTTTCTGGGACTTTCTTTTTTATTTATTTAAAAATGTTCCATGGTTGGGACTTCCCTGGTGGCACAGTGGTTAAGAATCTGCCTGCCAATGCAGGGGACGCGGGTTTGAGCCCTGGTCTGGGAAGATCCCACATGCCGCGGAGCAACTAAGCCCGTGCGCCACAACTACTGAGCCTGAGCTCTAGAGCACACGAGCCACAACTACTGAGCCCACGTGCCGCAACTACTGAAGCCCGTGTGCCTAGAGCCCATGCTCCACAACAAGAGAAGCCACTGCAATGAGAAGCCTGTGCACTGCAACAAAGAGTAGCCCCCGCTCGCCGCAACTAGAGAAAGCCTGCGCACAGCAACGAAGACCCAACGCAGCCATAAATAATTAAATTTAAAATGAATAACTAAATAAATTTTTAAAATAAAAATGTTCCGTGGAGATCTTGCCAATGTCAGTACACATAGGTCTCCCTCATCATGGTATACAGTGAGATGCCATATTTATTTCAACATTCTCCTAATGATAGATTTCTACATTATATGTTTTTCCTATTACAAACAATGCTCAGTGAACATCCTTATATAGAAGGCTTTGGCGCACTTTCAGTGTTTCTGAAAGATGAATTCCTAGAAGTAGTATTACTGGGTCAAAAAACGATGCTCAATTAAAATGCCAAAAAGTAGCTCCAAACTGCTCCAAGACTGAGGCAATTTATACTCCCACAGCAGAGTTTGAAAGCAATTCTGTATGCCCTGTCCTTTTAATTGTTGCCAATCTAACAAATGAAAAATGGCAACCTGTTTGTTTAATTTGCATTTCTCTGATAGTCAGTGAGATTGAGCAACTTTCAGTATGTTACTACTCATTTGCATTTCTCTTCTGAAAATTGTATGTTTATCATTTTTTAAATTTTTCTCTTGAGTTTGTTCGTTTTTAATTTGTAGTTGCTCTTTATACATTATGTACATTAGTCTATTGTCTGCTATAAATATTACAAATGTTCTGCTGGTCTGTTGTTTGTCTTTAACTTCGTGAATCTTTCCTCACTTAGAAGTTTCCATTTTCATCTACCCAAATCTGTCAGTTCTTCTATTTAGCTTCGGGGTTTTGTGTGTGTAAGTTTAGATAAGCTTTTCCATCCTAAGGTTTTAAAAATATTTTCCTATACTTAAATCCAAATCCTCTTTTTTTTTTTTTTTAAGATTTAATTTTATTTATTTTTGGCTGTGTTGGGTCTTCACTCTTGCGCGCGGGCTTTCTCTAGTTGCAGCGAGCGGGGCTACTCTTCTTTGCAGTCGGGCTTCTCCTTGCGGTGGCTTCTCTTGTTGCAGAGCACGGGCTCTAGGCGTGCGGGCTTCAGTAGGTGTGGAGCGTGGGCTCAGTAGTTGTGGCGCATGGGCTTAGTTGTTCCATGGCATGTGGGATCTTCCCGGACCAGGGCTCGAACCCATGTCCCCTGCACTGGCAGGCGGATTCTTATCCACTGCACCACCATAAGAAGAAGTCCCTCCTCTTATGGTTTTGTTCTTCATGTTTACTTCTTTAATTGCCATTGGCTTTTGTGAATAGTGTGAGAGCAAATTTAACTCAGCAAATTTAGCTTATAGAAAAAGTCACATAGATATGCAGAGATATGTTTAAAAGATATTCACTTTAGCATTGTATATTACAAAATGAAAAATAGCCTAAACGTTTAACAATAGGGGACTGAACTATAAATTATTATGTGTCCATGAGATGGATATCATGCATGTGTTGGGATAAAGTAGATTTCTGTGTGTTCAATAGTGTTATGATGGCCATAATATTTTTTGCTGAATTTTTAAAACCAGTCTAAAGGCTAATCATTTATCATAGAGCATTTTAAACAGAGATATTCATGTCAGAGTCTCCCTTGCCTAGAAGCAAAAAGCTACATTTATCACTTGCTAGTGATAAAATAATCTGTCTTCTAAATGTGGACTCTGGGCAAGGATGGTGTAAGAGGGCACTGGGATTGACTGATTTCTACTTCCTCTTGCTCACCTCCAAAACCTTGGGAGGAGAAGACAACAAATGAGTGATGGGGTGAAACTCCCTCTACCAAGGAGGATGAACAAATTCTGAAGATGTCAAGTCACTAGGTAGGGTTTCCAGCACCTCTGCCCCTTCCGCCCTGCATCAGTAGAGAGGGCCAGAAAGTGCTGGTTATATGATGGGTCCCTGGCAAACACCTGATTGTTCTGCAGGGTTAAGGGTTTATGGAAAGAGCCCTACCTCTTCCATCCATATACCCTCATCACCCATAGGACTGAGGTTTTTAGTCTTTACATTAATTGGCTCATGAGAGAGGGTTGTAGCCTCTCAACTGCATCTCAGGTGCATTTGAGGAACTGAAAAATCGTAGCTGAGTTGGAAACAAACTATTCCATGCTTCACCTTTCCCTTCCTCTAACAGGTGAGGTAACACCTTTGTCATTGGTTCAGAAGCTTTTGTGAGTATCCAAGTCCCTTAGAGTGCTGGTTCACAGCACATATGCTTGGGCCCCACTTCCAGAAGTTCTGATCCAGTAGATCTGCAGTGTGGCCCTGGAACAGGCCTTGGAACCAGCACCCAAGAGGATTTTCTTGTAAGTTACCTTCAGAACACACTCTGAGAAACACTAGCTTCTAAACTTTAGGTGTCTTTGGCTTAACGCAAATGCATTGGATATAAATCACAATTTTAGAAATTACATTTAAAATCCATTTCAAATTCCTGTGGCAAATTACCAGATAAAGTGAATAGTTCTATAATGAGGCCAAAAATAACTTTGGATGTCTAGTCACTTGAGTTTCTTAAAGTAGAGCAAAACTGTAGTTGCAAAGGTTATACTTTTTAAAAAATCACGTATACCAAGCATAAACCCTAATGTAAACTATTGACTTTGGGTGATAATGATGTGGCAATGTAGGTTCATCAGCTGTAACTAATATATTACTCTGGTGGGGGGATGTTGATAATGGAGAAGGCTGTGGGGGTTGCGGGGGAGCAGGGCATATATGGGAAATCTCTACCTTTTCCTCCAGTTTTCTGTGAATCTGAAAATGTTCTAAAAAATAATGTTTGTTAAAAAATAACAATAAAAGAGGGAAGAAGAACTACAATCATGCAGCCTGTGGAACCAAAACCACATTCACAGAAAGAGACAAGATGAAGAGGCAGAGGGCTATGTACCAGATGAAGGAACAAGGTAAAACCCCAGAAAAACAACTGAATGAAGTGGAGATAGGAAACCTTCCAGAAAAAGAATCCAGAAAAATGATAGTGAAGATGATCCAGGACCTCGGAAAAAGAATGGAGGCAAGGATCGAGAAGATGCCAGAAATGTTTAACAAAGACCTAGAAGAATTAAAGAACAAACAAACAGAGATGAACAATACAATAACTGAAATGAAAAATACACTAGAAGGAAGCAAGCAGAATAACTGAGGCAGAAGAACAGATAAGTGACCTGGAAGGCAGAAGGGTGGAATTCACTGCCGTGGAACAGAATAAAGAAAAAAGAATGAAAAGAAATGAAGACAGCCTAAGGGACCTCTGGGAAAACATTAAATGCAACAACATTCACACTATAGGGGTCCCAGAAGGAGAAGAGAGAGAGAAAGGACCCGAGAAAATATTTGAAGAGATTATAGATGAAAACTTCCCTAACATGGGAGAGGAAATAGCCACCCAAGTCCAGGAAACACAGAGTCCCAGGCAGGATAAACCCAAGGAGAAACACGTCGAGTAATCAAACTGAATAATTAAATTAAATTAAATTAAATTAATTAATTTGATCAAATTAAAGACAAAGAAAAATTATTGAAAGCAACAAGGGAAAAACGGCAAATAACATACAAGGGAACTCCCATAAGGTTAACAGCTGATTTCTCAGCAGAAACTCTACAAGCCAGAAGGGAGTGGCATGATATATTTAAAGTGATGAAAGGGAAAAACCTACAACCAAGATTACTCTACCCAGCAAGGATCTCATTCAGATTTGATGGAGAAATCAAAAGCTTTACAGACAAGCAAAAGCTAAGAGAATTCAGCACCAACCAAACCAGCTCTACAACAAATGCTAAAGGAACTTCTCTAAGTGGGAAACACGAGAGAAGAAAAGGACCTACAAAAACAAACCCATAACAATTAAGAAAATTGTAATAGGAACATACATATCAATAATTACCTTAAACGTGACTGGAATAAATGCTCCAACCAAAAGACACAGGCTTGCTGAATGGATACGAAAACAAGACCTTGCTGTCTACAAGAGACCCACTTCAGACCTAGGGACACATACAGACTGAAAGTGAGGGGATGGAAAAAGATATTCCATGCAAATGGAAATCAAAAGGAAGCTGGAGCAGCAATACTCATATCAGATAAAACAGACTTTAAAATAAAGAATGTTACAAGAGACAAGAAAGGACACTACCTTGGATGATCAAGGGATCAATCCAAGAAGAAGACATAACAATTATAAATATATATGCACCCAACACATAGGAGCACCTCAATACATAAGGCAACTGCTAACAGCTATAAAAGAGGAAATCGACAGTAACACAATAATAGTGGGGGACTTTAACACCTCACTTACACCAATGGACAGATCATCCAGACAGAAAATTAATAAGGAAACACAAGCTTTAAATGACAAAATAGACCAGATAGATTTAAATGATATTTATGGGACATTCTATCCAAAAACAGCAGATTACACTTTCTTCTCAAGTGCACAAGGAACATTCTCCAGGATAGATCACATCTTGGGTCACAAATCAAGCCTCCGTAAATTTAAGAAAATTGAAATCATATCAAGCATCTTTTCCGACCACAACGCTATGAGATTAGAAATCAACTACAAGGAAAAAATGTAAAAAACACAAACACATGGAGGCTAAACAATACATTACTAAATAACCAAGAGATCACTGAAGAAATCAAAGAGGAAATCAAAAAATACCTAGAGACAAATTACAATGAAAACACAATGATCCAAAACCTATGGGATGCAGCAAAAGCAGTTCTAAGAGGGAAGTTTATAGCAATACAAGCCTACCTCAAGAAACAAGAAAAATCTCAAATAAACAATCTAAACTTACACCTAAAGGAGCTAGAGAAAGAAGAACAAACAAAACCCAAAGTTAGTAGAAGGAAAGAAATCATAAAGATCAGAGCAAAAATAAATGAAATAGAAATAAAGAAAACAATAACAAAGATCAAAGACCAATAAATAAAAATGATACATAAACTGTAACATTTTACTTCACGTGAGATTGGTAATTTTTAATTTATTTATAATAATTATTGTGTACTTACTAAGGAATGCAGAGAAGTTTATCATAAATCCAAAAATACCACTCTCTGGAGGTGTTGTTCCTGTATCACTGAGAAAGAGAAGACATGTCCAAATTAGTAAAAAGGAATTCAGTTCAGGCATGTAATTGGCAGGTATTATATTGTGTCCCTTCTGGGTGTTCGGCCACTTTGAATTCCAAAGATTTGACCTGATTTTGTTCTAAAGTATTTTCAAGTTGGGCTCTGAAAAATTAAAAACTATTTTTTCTTTTTTTCCCCAGTTTTACTGATATATAATTAACAAACAGCACTGTATAAGTTTAAGGTGTATAGCATAATGATCTGACTTAGAGACATCATGAAATGATCACCACAGTAAGTTTCGTGAACATCCATCATCTCATATAGATATAAATTTTTTTGAGAACTTTTTTTGTTATGCTGAGAACTCTTAGGATTTACTTTCTTAACAACGTTCATATATAACATACAGCAGTGTTAATTATAGTGCCCATGTTGTACATTACCTCCCTAGTACTTATTTATATTCTAACTGGAAGTTTGTGCTATTTGACCACCATCATCCAATCCCCCTCTTCCTCACCCCTGGCCTCTGAGAACCACAAGTCTGGTCTCTTTTCCTATGAGTTTGTTTGTATGTTTGTTTGTTTTGAAGTATAATTGACAACACTGTGTGAGGAAATATTTAAAGTGAATGGTGGTGGTGTTTTTCAGATGATCCCACCTGAAAAATCTGAAGTGTGTGTTCATTCTTGATGAGGAATTGAGTGAGACTATTTTTTTGGGGGAAAAAAAAAAAACCTGGTCTAAAATCACGTTTGAAAAGTCTACTATTTGAATATTAAATATATATAAACACATCATTTTAATTTTTAACAATATGATTTATGCATAAGAATTTACACTGCTGAAAATATGATAGAAGGCTGAGCAATAAATATTATTGGTGCCTGTCAGTACTTTATGGAAATAGGGTATCAAGGGTATTACTCATGGTGATAAATTACTTTAACAAAAAAATAGCTTCTATGAGACATATTTCAGATGCAGTCTATCGATTAATTAATTCAATGAGCTGGAATGTAGCATTTGACATGTGCTAGTTTCTATTCATTAATGCCAAGGTTTACATTTTTATACTCTCAAGCTGCTTGCATAAAGCACAGTTTCAAACTGATGGCAAAGGCACTCCCAACATGAAACAACTCGTACTTGTCTTGAGTGTTTCCACGTTTTAAAACAGCTCTGAAATTTAAGTACTGAAAAGTGGATCAAGTTGAAAAGATGCACTTCAAAGTGTTTGAAAAATTCCACAGGAAGCCTGTGTGTGCAGGAAGCAGGAGTCTTTAAGCTTTGTGAACACTTAATATTTGAAGAGTATGAAGAGGTTAATGTTCCCCCTTCCCACAAATTCCTCTAGTCCCAATTACTTCAATCTCAAGTGTCACTTGTACCTGTAAGAATCTGAAGGGTTTAGAATTTAACATTACCATTTTTCCTACAAATAATCTTCTTTCTCACTAAAGGGATGTTGAGGTGAAGGCTGCCCGACGTTTGGGATGCCCTTCTGAGCACAACATCGTCCTGAATGGGCGAGGAGGGGATGGGAACCAGTGATGGAAACAGCTGGTGGAAACAGCTCATGAGTGCCCTTGGGCAGCACTTTTTTTTTTTTTTGCAGTACTCAGACCTCTCACTGTTGTGGCCTCTCCCGTTGCGGAGCACAGGCTCTGGACGCGCAGGCTCATCGGCCATGGCTCACGGGCCCAGCCGCTCCGCGGCATGTGGGATCTTCCCGGACCGGGGCACGAACCCGTGTCCCCTGCATCAGCAGGCGCCATCAGCAGCAACCACTGCGCCACCAGGGAGGCCCTGGGCAGCACTTTCACCAGAAAATTCTCACAGGGAAAGGAAGCCTTCTATTCTTGACCTCAGGGTATAAAAAAGCAGCTACCCGATGACTCATGCAAGAGTACTTGTTGGCACAGGTCTGTGAGGAATCTGCCACATGCCAGGAAGATTGTTGGTTGTGGAGAAGTGACGAGGATATTGAGGAGGGTAGGTAGGTGGGGGAACAAAGGTGCTCTTAACAGGAGATGAGAAGATGCCCATACTTGGGAATGATCTGTCCAGGGAGAGCAAACCAGGACATATTTCAAGGGCCCATGTATGCAATCCACATGACATCGAACATCGATTCGAAAGCTCAGAATTTCAGAGTGATCTTTTATTCTTGCTTATCTTTACATTTAAAACCATACAGGCAGAATCTGGGAATTCCCTGGCAGTCCAGTGGTTAGGACTCCATGCTTTCACTGCCATGAGCCTGGATTAGATCCCTGGTCAGGGAACAAAACAAAGATCCCACAAGCCACACAGCGAGGTCAAAAACAAAAACAAACACACAAAAAAACCCATACAGGCAGAATCAAAAGTGCTTTGCAAACAGCCTTTCCATATGCATTTGTTGAATGAATGACTATCAGTACTGGCAGTAGACACTACTTTTTGAACACTTACATGCACCAGCCACTGCTAGGTGCTCACCATACATCATTTCATTTCATCCTCTCAACCCTGAGGTGGGCCTATTACCAACCCCACTTTATTAAGGAGGAAACTGGGTATTGGAGAGGTTATATAACTTGTTCCAGGTCCCAGTGCTATCATATGGAGGGAATCTACATTCCATCTATGTGTCTGACTCTGCTTTCCTGCCTCCTCTGTGCTCTAACAGCAGGCAAGGAACAAAGCAATTAGAAGAATGACTGGGGGAGGAGAGCAAGCACAGATGTGCTGGTAAATGCTTAACAAACAGCTCTAGAGGGAACCTGATTTGTAACACAGGCCAATTTCCATGCTATAAATATTCCCAATATGTCAAAATTCAAGCTACCAAAATGCTGGTCACTGAACAAGGAGTTGGGAAAAAATGCACACAGTTGGCTCATCATGCCTTAGTTCTATACCAGGAAGGTGTAAAGTAGGTTAAGACCTCATAGCTTCTCAGATGCCATAATTTAATAATAAAACACCTTTGAAAAATGGTTCTGAAGAACCTAGGGGCAGGACAGGAATAAAGACGCAGACATAGAGAATGGACTTGAGGACATGGGGAGGTGGAAGTGTAAGCTGGGACGAAGTGAGAGAGTGGCATGGACATGTATACACTACCAAACGTAAAACCGATAGCTAGTGGGAAGCAGCCGCATAGCACAGGGAGATCAGCTCGGTGCTTTTGGACCACCTAGAGGGGTGGGATAGGGAAGGTGGGAGGGAGACGCAAGAGGGAGGAGATAGGGGGATATATGTATACGTATAGCTGATTCACTTTGTTATAAAGCAGAAACTAACACACCATTGTAAAGCAATTATACTCCAATGAAGATGTTAAAAGAAAAAAAAGAATAAACTGGAAACTAATACTACATTGTAAATCAACTATATTTCAATAAATTTTTTTTTTAAATTAAAAAAAATAATAAGAAAACACCTTTGGGCTTCCCTGGTGGCACAGTGGTTAAGAATCCGCCTGCTAATGCAGGGGACATGGGTTTGAGCCCTGGTCCGGGAAGATCCCACATGCCGCGGAGCAACTGGGCCCGTGCGCCACAACTACTGAGCCTGCGCTTTAGAGCCCGCGAGCCACAGCTACTGAAGCCCGCATGCCTAGAGCCTGTGCTCCACAACAAGAGAGGCCACCTCAATGAGAAGCCCAACCACCGCAAGGAAGAGTAGCCCCCACTCACCGCAATTAGAGAAAGCCCGCGCGCAACAACAAAGAGCCAACGCAGCCAAAAATAAATAAATTAAATAAATAAATTAAAAAAAAAAAAAACAAAAAAAACCACCTTTGACAATTATTCACCACCATGGTCTGATTTTCTTTCAGGATTACTCAGTCTATAACACCCACCATCAATGCATGAGTACCAATGGGCCTACATTCCTACGCTTGGCACTACAACATAGGAAACATCAATACTACAAACATAGGGGAAAATATGAATGCACTGTATTCATAACCAGTTGTTTGATTAAATGAAATCATCTTTTAAAAAGTTTTTATTTGGCTGCAAAAATAACCATAAACTTTATCCACTCATCAACAAAATATTTATGGGACACCTACCATGTGTTAGTACGATCTGAGTCACAAATTTCCCTATTTATCAGGTAAGAGTGGTCAGTGTGTGATTTATTTCCATTAAGTGACAAAGTGGTACCTAAACTACATTTGGTGATTTTTTAAATTTTATTTATTTATTTATTTGGCTGTGCCGGGTCTCAGTTGCAGCATGCAGGATCCAATTCCCTCACTGGTGATCGAACCCAGGCCCCCTGCATTGGGAGCATGGAGTCTTTACCACTGGACACCAGGGAAGTCCCCCATTTGGTGAAATTTTGCTTAAGAATATTTCAAGAGGGGGGCTTCCCTGGTGGCGCAGTGGTTAAGAATCCACCTGCCGATGCAGGGGACACAGGTTCAAGCCCTGGTCCAGGAAGATCCCACATGCCACAGAGCAACGAAGCCCATGCGTCCAACTACTGAGCCTGCGCTCTAGAGCCCTGCGAGCCACAACTACGGAAGCCCGCGTGCCTAGAGCCCATGCTCTGCAACAAGAGAAGCCACTGCAATGAGAAGCCCGCGCACCACAACGATGAGTAGCCCCCGCTCACCACAACTAGAGAAAGCCTGCATGCAGCAAAGAAGACCCAACACAGCCAAAAATAAATAAATAAAATTAATTAATTAAAAAAAATTCAAGATATAAACAACAAAGTCCTACCGTATAGCATAGGGAACTATATTCAATATCCTGTGATAAACCATACTGGAAAAGAATATGAAAAAGAATGTATATGTGTATATATATATATATATATAACTGAATCACTTTGCTGTACAGTTGAAATTAACACAACATTGTAAATCAACTATACGTCAATAAAATTTTGTATAAAATTTAAAAAGAAAAAGAGTATTTCAAGAAAATTTCCAGGGAATTCCCTGGTGGTCCGGTGGTTAGGACTTTGTGCTTTCACTGCTGAGGGCATGGGTTCAGTC